ATACTTGAAACCCAAGAGCCAGCACGTTTTTTCATTAGCTAGCTTTATCCATCTTTAGCTTTACCTCTGTGATAAAGTCGGACAATCAACAGGTTAGTGTTCAAGTTTATACACTATTAATGAATTTGCCTAATTATACCTATGCTTGCGTAAATTAGTAAAGGCGCCCATACTTCCATATGATGTGTCTTAAAGTTATCGTTCCCAGTTACCAAACACTCGGTTCTAAATTGTAGAGTTCGCTAATTAGCAACGAGTTAGCAGGGTAACGTTTGTCCTGCAAGCTTGTTGGAAGAACCGCACAAGTGTCTCTGAGCACCGAGTCTCGCAAATAAACTGTAATTTAGACTTCCATCAAGTAGCGAGTGGCCGATGTGCTTGTCTCTGCTACCAATCCCGTTTAAATGTGGCGGTTGGCTTCATTTGTAAAGTGACGACGTGGGAGGTGCAGCTCGGAGCCAACTGAGGCCAGGTTGCTAGGCAACATATAATCCAGATATTAAACGTATTTTAGTTATTAAACTGACAAGAATTAAATGTGTTTTTTTATTTACGATAAAATGACGTTAATGACGTTATCTAACCAAGTTTACAGAATTGTCAAGAGTAACGGATTACATAACCAGTAACGTTATATTACGATAGCATACCATTTATACACTCAGTTACCATGGTAACAAGCCACAAGATACAACGCCAGCTGACGTTCATGTTTATAACGTTAGCTTATCTGTACATATTCGGCTCGGGGCGTCGTTATCTCATCTCATCGTGCTTAGGAACCGCTAAAAATGCTTTGATGCTAATTGACGCAGACGTCGTCCTGGCTTGAGGTTTGGTCAAGCGACAGAGGCTACACGTAACTGTTAGCTTACCTCCAGTTAACGTTAGCCTTGTTAAGTCGCTGAATCGCTCTCGTTAGCTTGACAGCTGTGTATTTTACATCCACCCGCCGCTCCGTTGAAGTCAAGATGCCAAGCGTTTTGTGTGTTATCTCTACGCGATTAAACCAGGTAATATCACGAAATACTTCAGTGCAAGAAATAGTGTTTTTGGTGACATTAACACTATGTCTTATATGAAGAAGGGTTCTATAGGCTTCTAATCCGCTTTGGACGTCTTAATTCCAGGGATGGGAGAAGCGCCTTTGGTGATCCTCCAGCACCTGACCAGTGGCAGGTAGTGACGGTGCGAAAACGATGTTCTGGCCTCTACAATGAAGAAGATACTCAACTTTGCCAAGAAAAAGAAACACCCGCCCAGTTCTCCTGATAATAGGAGTGGGCTCTCTGTTGGCTATGAATTTAAAGAAAAGGACCTCGGGAAGGTTCACAAGGCTGCTCTCGTGGGGGATTTGTCAAAGTTGAAGCAGCTCGCTAAAAAGAATGATGTCAATCAACTTGACAAGGAGAATAGGTAAGTGGGTTTAAAGCATGTGTTGTCACATCTTTGACAGTGTATCATCTAATCTGTCTATCTCCTTCAACACATTATTTTGGAGCCTTTTCCCAACAGTTTCATCATTGCATATGCTCTCTTTCGTCAAAGAATGTTTCTACTGTGAAGTAACAAGCTTTTACTGTTTAACAAGTTTGCTGCTTTCAAGAAAAAAAATCTGCCATAATGTTGGTCCGCAAATGATTGCCGCCATGCAGATGGACCTCTATCTTGTGCTTATGAATTAAAGCACTGAAGCACTAATTGTAATGTAGCAGCTCCAGGGTATATGCTTTATTGTAGTATAGTATTATTTTTGTTGAGCTGGATTGTGGTAAAACAACTTCCAGTATTTATACTTTAGCTGAAACTTGCCAGCTGTTTTAAGCACCAAGTAAAATCTACTTGACACCCCATTGTTTCGTTTCTGCTTATGTTTCAAAGTAGGATCTAATTACCATTTGCATTTAGTGTGTGTCAGAAGTAGCTGAAGAACATTGAACCAAATACTTCATCCCCGGAACATTTGCACTGTTGTTTCTCTCAACATATGGACATACAGTACATACGTGTTTTAACGTATCTGGATTTTCTTAATTCTTGCTATTTTTTATCTTATTTTATTCTTAAATTGCACAGATGCACCAAGTCAAATTTCCTCATGTGTAACATATGTGGCAATAAATGGCTTGTGATTCTAATTAAAGAGGCAATTTATTTAATGGAAACAATAAGTTGGTTTGATTCAAAAACCGGCAAAGTAAGACCAAGGATGAGAAAAAACCCTCTAAAAACAAGGGTCAGTAGTAGTGTTTTTATTAAAAACAGTAATCCTTGCTCATGAAAAACTCTCCTCTATTGTTCCAGAACTGCACTTCATATTGCCTGCGCCAGTGGACATGTCGAGGTGGTGCAGTTCCTTGTCGAGAGCAAAGCTAAGCTTAACCTATGCGACAATCAAAATAGATCTGCCTTAATGAAGGTAATCCTGGATGATGAGACTCCACCACAGAGGGATTCTTCATTTTGTTTCGTGATGATCATTGTTTTTTTGCTTTCACTTTTATGTTGTTTCAAGTCTCTGCAATCATGTCACTCTCCTCTATATTAGGCAGTGCAGGGCCAACATGAGCGCTGCGTGAGCATTCTGCTTGAGAATCGTGCCGATCCTAACCATGTGGACATCAATGGCAATACAGCCCTGCATTTGGCAGCAAATATACCATCCATTTCCACTACTGTCCTCCTACTGGAGCACGCGGCCGACATCAATGCACAAAATAAGGTGATTCTTGTCTACCTCAGTACATTTACCCAGCCTCAAGCTAAAAATCAGGCCTAACTTTAGTCTATACAGTCTTTATTGCTGATGCAACATATGGCCAATAGGGGAGGACACCTCCGTGTGTGACGGTTTTAATGGCAAAGTGTTTGCTGTGGGAAAAATGTATTGTGCTCATGAATATTCTAGATGAATCTCACGCGTTAAAGGACGTGTGTCTGTGAATGAAGACGGACATTAAATCTGAAATGTTTCCGTCCCCTATGATATTTGATACTTTGCTTACAGTGAGGTATTGCTGTTCTGATGACACCAGTCCGATGAATGAGGTTGTTGACTGTGATTTAATTTTCAGGAGGGATTCACACCCTTGACTGTGTCGGTGCGTGAGGACCATTTCGAGATGGCCGAGTTCCTCCTCAACAAGGGGGCTGGTGTGAATGTCATGGACCAAGCCCAAAGGTCAGTACTAAACAAAGGACATATCTGCAATATACAATTTGAATGTTGCCTAATTCATTGATTTGACCTGCAGGTCCCCATTAATGCATGCTGCTCGTAACGGCCACAGTGGTATGTTGCAGCTGCTCTTGCGGTTTGAGGCGGATATCACACTTAAGGATAACAAGGGATGGTCAGCTGATGAGTACGCAGTGATGAATGGGCATCATCCGTAAGCTCTGCTTCTTTTCTTTGTGCATATGTTCATATGGCTGTATGTCTTCTATACTTCGTACATCTGTGGTGTTTTTACTTGTTAAGGTTTATGACATTGTCACTTTCTTGCCTCTCGTGTAGTTGTTCCCTGCTGATCATTGAGCACGGCACCCAGATGAACGATGGGCCCTCACTCTCCAATCAAGGTCCGGGCAAAAAGAAGAAAAAACCAACGTTGGGAAGTCCTTCCCAAGATGCCGAAGCACGCTTCTCTTTGGGAGGACCGGCTTCTGACAAAGATGGTAGGGAGATCTGTTGTTGAAGTAGATGAAAGTGGTGGGAGGATATTATCATGACTTTTTGTTATTGACTGTATTTTATTTATTCCTCATGCATTACCTCTTGACTGGATCTAGAGCATGGAACAAATGAAGCAGGGGGAGGTATTACTTTGCTTGGATGTTAGCAAAATCAGTGCCAGTAAAAATCATGATTATTTTTTTTTTTAAAAGGGTACTTAACCTACTCCTTTCTTCAGGAAATACACTTCTTTATGCTGCTTAGATCGTAAGCTATCACTTTCTGCAAGATATCCCTATCTGAACAGTTTAATATTGAACAATGACTTGGACTTTTTACAAATTGACTAATCTGAGGCTGAAAATAAGCTTTGCCGCTTTGTTGCAGATTTTGAAGACAATTCGCAGTCGGAGTCACTAAGTCGGTAAGCATAGTTTTCTTGTTATGTGTAATTCACTATAACCGTATGATACCCGACTCAGAGGGTTGTTCCTTCCACCTCAGGGTTTCAAAAAATGCTGCAGATGAATGGCCTTCATCAGAAGATGATGGATCGGTTTTAATCGAAAAGGTTGGTTCTACTGTTTTTTGCAGCTTTCTTTGCCCCAAACAAAGCCTTTTGCCTTCATCCCATATGCTGTCTTTCAGAACCCACAGAAGGTAAACCTAAGGAAAATGATTGCATCCAAAAGGGGAGAAGGTACTGAGCCGTTTTTAACTTTACCCACTAGTTATTAGTCCTCCACAGTTTGTGTTTTTTAGAAGCGATCTTTAAACCCTGCCTGCCCTGTAGCTTCCGCACTGCCTGACGGATCCTTGAGCAGTACCGAAACTGACCCAGAGAGTGAGAGTAGAGTCCAGAGAATACCATCCCTCCTGAAGGCTGTACCATCCAGCAAAGCTGTGCAGCACCCAGTAGATCCCTCTCCCATTTACTTCCCTTCCAAGGCATCCCAGATGACCTCTATTCCTCTTTCAAACTACAAAAAGGTAAAATACTTGTGTTGAAGTTTTGCATTTCTATGACACCTGTCTCTGGTTCTATTCCTCCCCCCAAATGCTTATAACACACAGACTCTCAAGAGAAAAACACACACGTGGAGCAGCCTTCAAGTAGTAAAGCCAGGTCAGACTGTCAAGAGGGAAGCCCAGAAGCCGAGGATTCTGAGGAGGAGGTTGAAGAAGAAGAAGAGGGGGAGGAGGAGGAAGAAGAAGAAGAAGAGGGGGAGGAGGAGGAGGAGGAAGAAGAATAGGAGGAGGAGGAGGAGGAAGAAGAGGAAGATGACGATGAAGAAGATGAGGAGGAGGGTGAAGATGACGAGGAGGAAAGTGAATAGCAGGATGAGGAAGAAATTATCAAAGAAAATGAATGTGACGAGAAAGACAATGACAAATACTTTGTCTCTGTCGAAGCCGTCGCTAATGAATTTAAAGAGATACAAAAAAACGTCTGTGCCTGCTGCCCTTTAAGACTGTGGACAGCGCTGATGCTCAAAACACACCTGGAAGTGACGTCCCTCACAGCCACGGCACTAGTCCTGCTGCTGTGAGTGAGGATCTGGATGCTGAAACAGAAGCTAAAGTCTGCCCAGCTGGAACAGCGAGTTATGCAATGCCAGCAACGTTGGATGTAGAGGAGGATTGTGTCGTGTCGGCCATCAGGGTAGAATCCAAATTCTCCGATGAGGAGGACAGTCATGGGAAGGAATGCCCGTGTGTTTCAGCAGGAGGTCACACAATATCCAAACATCACGTGCAGACATGTTCCCCTCCTGCAGTTGAGGAGGAAGAATTTGAAACAGAGTTTGGAATTGATGCTGACGACTCCTGGAACAGTGGAGATGAAGAGGAGAATCAAACTGGGGCACTTGGTTGCAACACAGTACTAGCAAATCTGAGAAATGTTGGTCCAGAGGATGGAGTTGAAAGTACAGAAGGCTCCTCTAATGCTGGATCAAACCGAGATGCTTTCAAAGGGGACATACGCAGATCGTCATGGGGCTCCTCATTAGATGACTCCGATCTACCCAAAGAAGAAGTGGTAAACACGCTTCATCAGAAACGTGATGCTGGATCATCACATTTAAAACCAGAAGGAGCAACAATGCAATCAAAAAGCTCAATACCTCGATCAAACAAAGACCACTTGGATACCTCATGGGATTCTTCATTCCCAGTGGTACCATCTCCAAATTGTGTCTCACCTCACACTGTGAAAGGTGAACCTGTTCCCTCTTTGGGATTATGTTCAACCAGCACTCCTCTGTCCAATAACAGACCAGCTAAAGCAACCGTAGATGAATCCGAGTGGGATTCTTCTTCTGAAAATAATGACCCAAACGATAATGGCTCCTTCACTAAAGGTGATTTGCTGTCATCGCTTTCTAAAACAAATATTGCAACCGTCAACCAGACTGGACAGCTGCAATGTGCTGATGGCTCTTATGAAGAAGCAAACAAAGAAAATGTGGAGAACGAGTCAAATGGCCGCTCCCATGTGGTGTCACCAGTAGCTGAGGATGAAAAAAACACCAGAGGCCAAACACAAGACAACGATGACGAGGGATCAAACCGACGGTCATCACAAACGGATGGAAAACTATTCTCCGAGAAGGAGGAGGCCCATGATGAGAGTTGGGATGAGAAAGATGTCAGTGATGAATCAGGGACGTCGAGGCCGAGGAGTGCCATAAACTGTGAATCGGAAGAAGAAGAAGAAGACAGTGAAGCTCCTCCATCCATGGAGGATGGAGACGATGAGTATCCAAAGGGTGACGGGCTGGAAGAGGAAAGGCTGGCAGGTGTTGAGAAGGACAATGAGACAAGTGAGGACTCCGACAGCCTGGACCAGAAGCTGCAGTACGACTTTGCCAGCGCAACGGTCAAGGTGGCCGACGACGACGACGAAGAAAATGAAGCCAGATTGACTGCTTATGTTCCTCTAGAAAATAGAAGTGCCGTCGATCCCCAGCCAAGGGTTTCATCAGATGACCTCGATGAAGAAGCAGCATGGGGAAATGCTTCGTCGAGCCCCCCCACCAAAGGCGGTTTCACTGCCAGTCAGCTCTACGCTTCGGACGGGAGCGCCTGCTCCGATGAAGCGGTGCCGCGGACCGACATTGATGATGTTGACGTAGACTCGCCCGATGAGGCAGAGAGCATAGGCACGAGAAGTCAGAAGGTCAGAAACAGCCAACAGCGTGTGTTTGCTTCCCCTTTCGTTAGAGATGCCTCTTATGTCCGTATACACTGGTAGAGGTAGGTTTTAAAGTACATGTTTGTGACTACATTGCTCTTCTTATACTTTACACAGAACGAATATTCCAGTGAAGATGAGGGTGATGGTGACCAGGGGGAGGAAGACGTCTCAGACGAAAATGATGAACATGGAGAGAGCAGAGATTTCCTTCCCACCACTGCACTGGTTACTGAGAAAGACATCTCTAAAGATAAGAGACGAGGTCAGGAGCAAATCATTTAAGATAGCTGTTTTGAACATTACAAGGGAGGAATTAAGATGGATGTCATCAAATTAACAGATAATTTGTATCAGCTTTTAGAAAAATCTTAATGTTTTTTTTGTTTGATATACATTCATTTACACTCAGTCATAATATTATATTACATATCTATTGATAACATTATTTTTTTTTATTACATTTTTTTTTTTCCCCCTTGGGTAAAGATCACTATTACTTTAGACTATTACATAGTCATGCTGTGGGGATGCATCAAGAATTGTTTTGATTTAAATTGTAGCGACTCAAATTTAAACCAATTTTCAGTAGAATGATTGCAGTGAGTCTACACTTGTTGAAATAGATTTCCTGTCTGAGCTGGGTCTGGAGAAGGAAGAGGAGGAGCAGGACTCTTGGGACTCTGAGGTACGGTAAAGACATATTTTGGATCATCTAGGCAGATCAGATGTTTAGCACACAGATTCTCAGAGGGTGATTTTTCTCTTTCAGTCTCACTCTGAAAACCCCAATATGCCACGTGCACGGAAACAAAGCATGCACACTCAGGATCAAGAACAGATGCCCACCGTCAAGGCAAAGAGCAAAGAAAGTAGGTCTATTTAATTGACCTTTTTTGGATTTCAAAGCAATGAAACCATTCTAGCCACCATTTCATGCTGCAGAAATTTGCCTTATTTGATTGTAATCATAGAAAAAACTTGCCTTTGTATGCATGAATTCTATTTGTCTGCAGGTAACTCCCATCAATCAAAAATATCCTTTCCAACAATATGTTAATTTCTCTTGTAGACTTGTTTTATATTCCCTCTTTTTTAAGAGGAGAAAGAGGCAATGGGATGGCGGTTCTAGAACCTCGGAGGAGTGTAGGCAGGCCAAGAGGCAGCCAGGGTGAGGGTATGACTATCTGAGGAGGAGCATGCTAACCATACCAGAAGCCTGACCATCACCCCATGATAGCCATTAGAGAATGCATGCAGAATACACTACCCCTCCCTGCTTGACCCTGTTTTTTTACCCCAACAAAAAAACTATTTAGAGTTGCTTGGTTTCACCAGGTTTCGATCTTGATATGAACCATCATGGCCGCAGAATTTTTGTCCAATAAACAAGGAATTTCAATGGCCGTCTCATGCTTTGACAAATATCTTCATGCTAATTATCAATGAGCTCATTTGCATGGGAATGCTTTCCACGATGTTCGATCACACCCACCCGGCTTCATTAGAATGTTTTTCTGTGCACATTCTGTGTCTAACATGACGGACTTGTCTTGTCTCTTGCAGTTGAGATCAATGATGGGAGTAATGGAGGTCAACATGTTGAGGAAGATGTTACCACACAGAAAGAGGTAGGTTCAACAACGAAATGCCGTACAAGGTCAAATAAACTCATCTGTTGGGCTCAAGTAGCAACGTCCTTTCTTTCTTACCAGACTGAGAAGACTAAATGGGAAACCCTTCGTGTTCTGAACAAACTTGAAGGAGATGGCGAACAAAAGACGGGTATGTGGCACCACCTGGAGCATTGTGTTTCCTGTCGATCGGAAATGTGAGAGCTGTTTGCATTGAACTGGTACTTTGTATTACTTTGACAGACTTAATGGAAGAGCTTGGTCTCGGTAATGTTGATGATTTTGAAGGTAAGATGAACTGACCATCACTTTTTTTTAAGTGATATCATTCTATTTAATCAGACAGTTGAGCATCTAATGCCACTGTGCCTGCTGTTGAATTCCCTGATACCTGCAGAGTAGCAACCTCCAGGTTATGAACACTTCACTTCACTATTTAGCCCGCTGTCTTCTTTTAAGATTTAGTCTAAAAATGTCTATCTGTATTCAACACTGGCATAACTACCCTGTGTGTTTTCCTGTCATCGAACTTTTGGAAGTTAAAAAAGCAGGTCAGTAAGCATTAACTAGTAGATTAGACAAGATGAACTGTTTGTTTTGGTAGTTGTAGTTCCAAGATGATGGAGTGTGAACAATTCCAATGAGTGGTTTTGTCTGTGTTGCAGACCTGCTAATCCTAGCAACATCAATATCATTTTTTCCCATCGACCAATAATGTCTTGTGTCTATGACGCAGATGCATCAGACTGGGACTCCGCCAGCACCGCCAGTAGGAGAACCCTGCCTGGGAGCAGAGAGCAGTTCCCGGAATGCATCTATCCGTCTGTCAAAGAGCAGGATGAGGAAGCTGTTCCGGCAGCACCCTTGACCCCTGAGAGGAGCATCAACTCCCACAAGACGATGCCCACCACGCCCCAGCAGCCTGGGCCCCAACCCCAACCCCTGCCTCGAGCAAGGAAGATGGTGCTTCAGAAAGCAGAAAGTGAAGGAGGTGAGGCACATCAGGACCAGCACTGTCGGATTCAAAACTTAATTACAAATGGCCCATTTTTAAAGAGTTTATATAGGAATAGTTCACATTATTTCTCTTTCTTTCCATTCTCGCTCTCATTCAGAATCCGATTTGGAGCAAGACAATGTTGAGTCCACCTGCAATTCAGACAAAATTCAGTTGCAAAATATAGCTGAGCTTCAGACAGGGGTCCCACCAGGTACGTCTCACTGGACTTTTTGAGTAGGCCGACAGATGTTTGTGTGCACATGCAATGCGCTCTGGATAAAGACTGTCTGTCTCCTCAGGTTTCCCTCAGCGACCACCGATGGCCAAAGACAGTAAAAAGGTAGAGTTGCAAAAGGTGAGAAATACTCACCTTGGCTACCACGATCCTTTTAAACATTTTAAACATGTTTATTCCTGACATTTTATGTCCCAGACACATTATTTCCCACTCACATCATACAGTCATATCTAATGGTAAATCTGTGCATATTTACAAGCATGGTTGTGTTAAAAAGAACCTACTCAAATTAAATCAAATGATCTACCTTTTGACATTGCTCATCAAGCCTTTAGGGGTCCTTAAAGCCTTGAAGAGCAATGTCAAAAAGTAGATCATTTGATTCAAATTGAGTAGGTTCTTTCTAAGTCAAGTGGCAAAATCGATTAAATGTTTTGTAGTTATTGCTAATGTGAGTAACTAACTTGATCATCCCAAATATTGGCAGGAAAAATGGGTAAAACCTTTAAATATAAATCTACCATAGTGGGACACAACTTTATATTCTTAGTGCCTGACAGCCACATCTGTTCTTTCTGGTCTTTGACAATTTGTTCAGATAAAAAAAGAATTCTTTAATGTGATGTAATGTTCTGTTTCACGAGTTGTTACGTATCCCAAATAACATTCTTGTGAATGTCGTCTTTTTCTATAATTAGAATGTAGTTTTCTAACCTCAAAAGAAGGATCTGGGACTGTGATGTTTGAATTAATTCCTATTTATTTTAATATGATCTCACTTTATGTAAGTAAGTCATATATGTATTTTAGTATTGAGTTCCAAACTCCTTTTTTTTGTTTTTTTTGTTGCATTTTTGTCTTCTGTTTTGTGTTTCCTTGTCCACCCATGCCATCCCAGGAGATAGATGATGCAATAGATACATGTGAGTTAGATCTGAATGGCCCCTGTGGATCTGGCCCTGTGAGCTCCGGCGGTAGAGAGAGGGATGCACACTTTAGAGCTCAACGCAACCCCGAAGAAAGAAACAAAGCGGGGGATATCGTTCCATGGGAGAATCGTTACGAGAAGCTCTGGGTAGAGGTGGAGAAAAGAGAGGTCAAATCCACCTTCAAGCACGTTGCCGGGGAATTGAAAGAGAAGTTCGGAGAACTGCTTAAATCGAGAAGCTCTGCTGGAGACGTCGCAGAAGACGAACCGGCCGAATCTACTCCTGCGGAAGAAGAGTCGAGTGGTGATGAGGACGAAGGGGAGGTCATTGTGCGCCCAATGGCCAGAGCGAGGAGCACCGTTCTTCTCCCCATAGCTGAGCAGAGGGAGTCTGGACCGGAGTCCACTGACGACTCCGTATGTGAGGACGAGATGCCGCTCAGCGAGCCCCCGGCTACTGAGGGCAACATGTTTCGAGAGCCGGATCTAGGGGAAGGCCGCCCCAGAGATGCCATTCATATGGCTTCCACTGATGATCGATGCGGGCCCGTGACTGATAGGAAGCGGAGCGCAAAACTTGGGCCATTCCAGAAGCCACATCTGGATCTGATCTCGATGGACGGCGCTGTTAAACGAGATGAGGCTGAGAGGAAGGATGCCAGTTCAGATGAGGACCCTGAGGAAGTCGCCAAGTCTGCCCCCACCCCACTGGGCAGACGCTCAGGATCTGTCCCAGGTGTTTCTGATGAAGAGCACAAGGACCATATGGAAAGATGTAAACGTGAGGTAGGGATCTTGAAGAATGTCTTCCTGGATTTGAAGGAAGGAAAGGCCCAACCGGAGAAAGAGGTAGAGGATGGCTGCCCCTCCCATAGTCCCTTCTTGATCGCCTCACTTTCTCTCCATTTCATCAGTGTTTTAAATTTCATTTCTTTACATCTGTTGTTTTAAGAGCTTGAACCAGCCATACTTCATGACGTCATCTTATTTCTTTCCCTTAGTGTTTGCATGGTCTATTTTCACCAACATGTAGAAATGAAGTGCCGTTTGTTGAAGGTCATTTCCACAGCGCTGCAGTAACCTTTGGTACTGACCGGCCGTTTTGGTGTTTCTGAGTGAGCTCCAAAACGTTCTCTCTTATGTGTGCTTTAGTGGTGACTTGTCCTTCCTCCTGCATGGACCTCGCATGTGCCTTAACTTCTGTTGTGGGAAATCAGATTGCACTTCTTTTCCCTTAAAAAGAAGTGCTGTTGTGATGAATGGCAATTAGCATTTGACATTGAAACTGTCATTTTGTGGGTGAAGTATTTCTGAAAATTTGTCTTTATATACCAAGGGGATTCAATTAACAAATGACCAAGTCACGTTCTAACCACACTAAGGTCTCCGATGGGAGGGGTAACACTAAATGATGTATGACAAAGAGGAGAAGTTCCTGCTCAAACACATCTTCAAAGGCTGACCACAACCGGGTTCATTGAGGAATGATTTCTCAGGTCCAGTTATCAAATATTCACCCTTGTCTTTTCAGGTTGCAAAGGAGAAAGCGGCTGCATCGGAGGTGAACAAATCCACAACTTCCTGTGACACTGGTGGAATGGCGTTGGAAGAAGCTGCCCCTGAGAAACCTGAGAGCAGATCAGGATCTCTGTCAAGTCGAGCCGGAGCGACTCACCAGGAGGAGCAGAGCGCCAAGAGGTGTGCATTGTTTTTATGTTGTGCATCTTTAGGCCCCGACGGTTAACATTACAGATTTTAAATGTTGCTCTTGGAATTTTAGAACCTCACATCCACAATACAATCCACATACATCACATGAAAAGATGTTCTATCTTCATTTAGGGAGTGTGTGTTTGTGTGTGTGCGTGTGCGTCTAGTTTTTTACTTTTTTGATTAATACACTTTCACTACAGACATATTCAACAAAAAGAACTGACTCTGATTCAACTTAATGACTTTCTTCAGCAATACCTCTAAGGCTCCAAAGCGTGCCAACGTATTGACCATATTGCTCTCCATAGCACCAACGGGGCACCGGTGCTAATGCACTCCCCACCACAGCAGACCTACAATAGCAGCAGGCAGGAGGGAGAAGCTGTAGAGGAGACCTTACAGCCACAGCTGGTCAGAGGCGCCAGCAGAGCCCCTCTGACCAGCGCTCATGACAATGGAGATCCCCTGTCGGTGTTTGATGATAGCACTTTGAGTGAATTGTCGGACGATGAAGGAAGGTACATATGCAGTATGCTTTTACGCATCAGTGTCCCCCCTCTGTCACTAACTCGTACACGGTGTGTTCAGACTGACCGCAAAGCTAATTAGACTGAATAAAGGCTTAGACATGAGTAGACGTGAACAGTCCCAGAAGGTCTCTGTTTAAGAGAAACTAAATCTTTTGTTTCGGAAACTTAACTTAATGAACACACAAAAGGAAAGTGAAAAGAAACAGGGTAAACTTAAGAGAACAAGAGTTCGTACTGGAGTCGTTGGTAAGTTCAGATCATGTTTGTGTATTTGTGACAAATAAACCGATGAATGATCCGAGGCAGAACTTTCAGGCTTTGCATTCAGTCCAAACAAACCGTCACAATACTGGTGGTGGGTCTGTCAGATGCATTTATTCTTTATTTCAATGATTTTCTACCCACAAAGTTGCTATGACTAACCACTGATTTTCCAAAATAATCTATACTATACTGCATTATACCATTACACTTCCAACTATAAAGCTCTCTTATTTTGAGAAAATGCACATCAGTTTCCCAACTAACACCTTTATTTCTTCTTTGTTTTTTTTTAAATCAGGGATCCTAAAGCTGGAAAACCGAACACCGAGGTGATGCACAATATCTCCCTGTAACTAGATGGAACTAGTACAGAAAACACAATATAATGAATATTATACTCACCACCCACACTGTGGTTCTATGTATTCAGAACCCTGAGGAGGTCGACATGGCTGAAGACTTTGATGAACTCACCCAGTCATCCGACACAGCTACAGATGACGTGGACTCTCCCACTTCAGGCTATCGCCACGCATCCGTCCTCATTCAGACGCTGGACTCGGCCACTTTGGGTACTGATTCAGCCAATACAAATGCTAATTTATGTATTAATAAATCATTGTTTCTGCTTTAAGGACTTCTGTAACCTACTCAGTTCCTCAATCTTATTTGCAAAATACCTGTGAATGTGCAGATGATTCAACTTTAGAAGAAAGATTTGATCTATGCTCTTTAAGTGGTAAGACTTGCCATATTATTCCTCACAGACTCCAGAAGCATGGTGAAGCTGCAGAACATTTTCCACGAATATGAGCGCTGCATCCAAAAGGCGAGGAGTCGCCACGGGTACCTGTCGGACAAGGTGAGCCAGCTGGAGATGGAGAGGGCTGAGTTGAAGAGATCCCTGGAGGAAGTTAAAGATGTGAAATCTGCCTTGGAGCGCAACCAGCTGGAGCTGCAGACGGAAGTCACAAACCTCAAGTGAGAACAACTTCCTCTTCAGCCGTTTCTTCACGGGGTCTTGCAGTCTCCTCACTGCATCTTATGTGATTCTTCTGTGCGAAACTTGCTATAGATTCCAGCTGAAACAGGAGGTGGAAAATCGGCGAAACGCCACCATGATGTACAACACAACCAAAGATAAGCTGAGGAGGATGGAGGAGCAGCAGCAGTTGGAGGTGCAGGAGAGGCAGAAGGTGGAGCTCTCCCTCAGGAATCTGCAGCTGGAGATGAGAACCCTGGTGAACAACATGAAACAGGTGCACCTTTTTTAAACCTTAAACATTGTTTTTGTTCTAACAAGTAATTATCATTATTTTTCATTTGTGGTGATGAGATGCCGTAGAAGATTGTCAGTCTTTAGCTCGTCCAGTTGTTGTTTGGTGTACACTACGTACATACTCGTGGTTTAAATGTCCACCCCCTCAGCTCGAAGAGGACCACAGCGAGACCCAGAGATTGCTGGCTCATGAGCGCAGTGCTCGGACACTGCAGGAGAATCTGCTCAGCAGCCATCTTCGAAAGCAGCAGGAGATAGAGGAGGACAACAAGAGGAACATAAGCAAAAGCAATGAGGTAGTCCTCTTTAGCCTAGCGGCATAGCTTGATTTACTTTGGGTTTATTGTTTCGATGATATTCTTGACATTTTGAATCTCTTGATGTTACGTTATAAGTGGCTGTAACTTTAAAACATTTGGTGCCTGTTCGGTTTGGAAAATGTTAAGTAACAATATTATAGTTTGGGGCTGCTAATTTAAAACATTTTGGGAAGAAATTAAAAGGCAATCTTAATTTCTTAACATTTTTGGTTGTTGTTCACAGGCCTTGTCTCAGCTCACTGAAGCCAGTGACAGGGAGCGAGAGCTGATGCAGCAGAGTGTTACTTTGCAGGACCAGCTGACCACCCTGAGAAGTGACCACGAGCGTCTCCGTGCCAACAGCAGTCTCAAAGAGAGCCACCTTTCCGATGAGAACGAGGCCCTCAAGGAGCAGCTAGAAGATGTTCGGCGAGATCTCAAACTCAACAGTGAAGCTCTGACCCAAACGGTCTTCAACTGCAACAACCAGGTGACCACCCTCAAGTCTGAGTTAGCCATGGCGACATCCCGTCTGGAAATTGAGCGGCAGACCCGCGAAACCCTGGATTCTGAGGTTGAGTCTGCTCGAATCCGCCTGGCCGGAGCCGTGAAGCAGGCGGAGCTCTCCATGGCAGCTCACACGGACCTGGAGCGAGTTCTGCTCCGGGAGAAGGAGGAACACCAGCGTTTTAAAGACCGAATCACAGGTCAGTGGTGGGAGGAATAGATGGACAGCTCCAAGGTGAATTGTATAATATATAATATAATAAGAATTTGATATAATCCGGGAGCTTGTCTGTGACGCCCTTTTTCGGACAGGTGAAGCAGCCAGTCAACGCGAGGCGATCACCAGCTTGTCCCAGAAGCTGGCCAGGGCGGAGTCTGGTGCCAACAGCATGGAAAATGAGGTTCATCGGGCCACACTGCAGCTGACAGAGAAAAGCCTCTTGCTGGAGGTCCTGCAGCGGGAGAAGGACCAGGGGGCTGCACGTATCAAGGAGCTGGAGTCGGCCCTGCAGTCCGAGAGGGAGCAGATTGGCCGCGTCGGGGCGCGCCAGGAGGCTGCGCAGGAGCGGCTGGCACAAACCCAGAGCGAGGGCATGCTGCTGCGGCAACAGCTCGAGGAGGCCCAAAACAAAGGCGTCGCAAAAGAGCGTGCTGTGACGGACGCCCAAGAGCGCTTCAGCGACATCCTGGCCCAGCTGCGCTCGGACAGCGAAGAGCGAGTACAACTAGTGGAGGAGAGGAGTAAGGAGCTCGCCAGTAAGGCCGCCGATCTCCGAGATCAAATCTACAGATTAGAGGAAGAGAAGAACGAAAGAGAGGTGAGAGGAGGACTCTGGAATAAGAGGGTTACCTGATGTTTTCGCCCACATGCCAGTTGGGGATCTCCCCTCTAATCAATGATTTCTTGGGAATGTGTCTGAGCACAGACTAGTCTGAGGCAGCTGCAGCAGGAGCTGGCTGACTCACTCAAGAAGCTGTCAATGAGTGAGGCTTCCCTGGAGGTCAACACCCGCTATCGCAACGACCTGGAGGAGGAGAAGGCCCGTCTATTTAAAGACTTGGACAGGGTCAAAGGAAAGGTAAGAGGAGGGAACGCTGACACCTTTAGGCAGCATGTTACAGCATACACACTAGTGATTCCAGCTGTGTTAATGATACAAACAATTTAGGCTGCGCTGAAATTTGAAGGTATTACATCGTTTTTGAAGGTAAATCCTCTTTGCGCGATGCTGATGAGGTTGATGCGTTGTCCCTATCATGTAGCTAGAGGAAAGCGAAGACCAGTATGTGCAAGCCGAGAAACGTATCAACTGTCTGAAGAACGTTCTGGATGAGAAAGAAAAGGAACTCGCCGCTGCTGCTCAGAGACACCAGGCGGCGCTGTCTGCCTCGGCAGCTTCTGAGATCACCATCAAACAGCTGGAGGAGGCCATGCAACAGTATGTAATAACACATTATGTACACATGCACTTGGATTACAGTTTGATCACGTTATATTCAATTCAATTAATTGTATTATGTAGAGCCCAAAATCGCAAATTACAAATTAGCCTCAGAGGGCTTTACAGTCTGTACACATACGACATCCTCTGTCCAGAAACCCTCCATCGGCACAGGAAACACTCCCCAAAAAACGAAAAAACTCTTCCATAAGGGAAGAAACCTTAGGGAGAACGTCAGAGGAGGATCCGTCTCCTGATGGACAGACTACAATGACGTCATGTGTACAGAATGAACAATGTATAATACATGAGACTATATGACAGAATGATTCAAGTAACTGTGAGTAGTAAACCAGACGCACAGCAGGACCACTGCAGGGACCACCACCATCAGATAGAACCACCATCAGATAGAACCACCATCAGATAGAACCACCATCAGATAGAACCCCCATCAGATAGAACCACCATCACATAGAACCACCATCAGATAGAACCACCATCACATAGAACCACCATCACATAGAACCACCATCCACAGAAGCCTGTGGGGAGGGAGAGCACAGAGACTTTAGCAGAGGGTAATGTTGGTTTACGAGTACAGTAATATGATTAATATCTAAAATAATAATGATGGTGATGATGGCAGCAGCAGGCGTCAGCAGGGCCACGGCAGGTGTCAGGAATATATATTCCCTTTAATGATTCTTTTATTGTCATGCACGAGTCTAGCATTTTTCCGGATACCGTTTGTGAGTATTTGTGATGTGAAATCAGGCTGGAGATAGAGAACGCCAGGCTGGAAGCTGCTGCAAAGCAACAGTCCAACAAAATTGAGACACTTCAGAAAGGGGCCCAGGAGTCTGCAATGGTGAGTGTTGTAAACGTAATCCAATTAGGTTATCTACTTATTACAAATACAATACCTAAGGATTGTGATACACAGAGAAAAACGTTGTCTTATAAATAGCTGACTTTTACGTAGTGAAGTCATTTTAAGGTATTCAATCTTTTTCCAGCTATCTGACTGTGCACCTGGAGGAGGGGTTTGTATTGTGGATGTAGGCTTAGTTCTTCTCTGTGTGGGTTTACCTCTGTTTTTCACCGTATAAATCGCCTCTAATCAAGATTAAATGTACTTGGGCGTTTGCACAAGCTCCTAGTCCAGAAATCAAACGTGCAGAGAAAGTAAAAGCTTTGTGTCGGTTTGGGGTTTTCTCTCTTTGGCCTCGTCTTGCTATGTGGGGTCTCTCACTCCTTTTTGTCTCAAGCTGCATGATGGATGTTACTTCCTTTAGTGTTCTTTCAAGTTTCCAAAATGATTAACAAAAAACAAGTTCAGCATGTTCAGCTATGTTTGAATAATTTTCTTATTGCTGTAGGTTAGAGGTCATTTGGAGGACTTGGTTTCAAACCTCCAAAGCAACAAGATGAATTTGGAAGACCAACTCACTCGCGAGGTCTGTGGCATATTTTGTTTCCTCACTAACAGTCTTCAGCCTAGATTTTGATGTTTTACTTTCATCTTGTTTTCTAGTCTAAAACCTTTATATTTGAGTATCCTGCCAAATGAGGAATGGACGCTGATAAAATGAACAGTCACACATTTCCCCTTCACCAAAGAGTTGATAATCTAACTTTTTTACAGGGTGTTGTTTGCAAAGATATTTAAAATACAACCACATTTACACATGTAATCAAATGGTAGACATAAGAAAATAAGCATTGCTCAAAACTGTTGTGATTGTGACTGTGACTGTTGAAGAAGAGCAGTGTAAAGCAATATAATCTTTGATAAGCCCTTATTTTGAAATTCCTATGGGAAGTCTGCCCATTTCTGTCCAGACGCACCTCCTTCCTACAGGGCCCTGAACAAAATTGTCAAATCGAATTGTAGTTGATTTTGGTTGTTGATACAAATGTCGATGGTTGTGTCATATCAGATCAAAACCCCCTGAAAAGAATCTACTTTATACAATTTTTTTCTATATCAGCAAAAAATATATAGTTGTCCAACGAAACTTATGATTTACACCCGAACCCTTTCTGGGAAATCAGAACCAAGTGAAAGTTTTCACTCAATTTTCACCTGGGTCTTTCTCGTTCTCAGGTCCAGAAGCGAGGGACGCTGTCTCACACGGCCCAGGACTCTCAGGCGCTGTGGGAGGAGGAGCTGAAGAGCCGCTCTAAGTTAGGACTGCGACTGGCGGAGCTTGAAAAGGAAAAGGGAGACCTAAGCACCCAGGTGATCATAGTGAGGCTAGTGTTTTATTCAATGTCAATGTCAACTTTATTTATATAGAACTTTTAAAGGCCAATGGCCAAAGTGCTTTACAGGATCAAATAATCAGCAGCAATAAACAATACGAGCAAAAGTAGAACAACAAACAAGCAAAAACAGTAAAACAGTGAAAGGCAAACAGATAAAAGATCCAATACAGGTGACTTAACTCAGCCAAAGGTAAACCAGTGGGTCTTAAGGCGAGTTTTAAAAGTAGAAAGGCTCGTTGCAGAACGCACAGAAAACGGCAAAGCGTTCCACAGTCTGGGAGCCGCTACTGCGAAGGCTCCATCTCCTTCCGTTTTGAGGAACGACCCAGGAACGTTCAGAACCAACTAGTCAGCTGACCTCAGGGCTCTGGAGGGTTGATGCACATTAATATGGCTGGATAAATATTCTGGGAGCAGTCTATGCAGAGACTTAAAAACTAATAAAATATTCTTAAAATCAATTCTGAACCTAACCGGAAACCAGTGGAGAGAGGAAAGCACTTTCCCTCCTGATGGTACAATTAGCCGTGGTTTGGCTGTCAAGACTTGTTGCCTTGTTGTGTTTCAGATGGAAATAGAAAAGAAGAAAGCCAAGAAAATAGCGGAGCAGAAGAAGGCTGTAGACATCCGGCTGGATCAGGAGATGAATAGAAACACAGACCTTCAAAAAGAAATGTACAGGTGACTCCTAGCCTCCTCCTCCTCCTCCTCCTCCTCCTCCTCACCCACGGCAGCACCCCCCCCCCCCCTCCTACTATTGAGACCCACCTACTATCCAGTAGTGTGCACCCCTGCCCGGCTTCTGTGGTGAACCAATGTGCAACTGTTGTAAGGGCCTCAGTTGTGTCTAACTCCACTCATCGATGCAGAACAAGTCCCTGGAGTCTGTTTGTCTGGTATTTGTGTGCTAATGTAACAGATGTGTTCAGGCATGCGATTGAAATGACTCCAAGGAGGGATTTTTCTTGTTTATTGCCACGTGCACGGGGAACAGACAGATAACTTGCTCTCTCTGCACCGCTCATGTGTCTCCCAACACTGTTGTTTAACCACAAACAAAACCATACAGTCCATTCACCATAATGATTCTCATACATCCCAAACATTACAGCGACATTATCGCCACACGACTTACCTTCACAAACAAAACGCCATTGTGGCGGTAAGACGGGGCCACAGCAAAAAGGGGATGCGGCATATTCAGAGGGGGAAATATAACAAATATGAAAACACCTCCATAAAAATAAAATTCACACACATCTAAAGGAATTAATTATTAACAAACCGACATCTGAAAACACAAACCGAAAAGATAATCTACATTTCTAACTCAACTACTACTACGCTACTGTGTTGTGTGGGTTATTCTTTGACGTTCCTTATTCTGAGATTTTCTTTTTTAGTTTTTTTGTATCAGATATTTTCACCGTTGGTATATATGAGTTACATTTAGTCAAAACTGGTTGCAACTACGTTTAGTAGGTGAATAATTAAACAGTTTGGAATCATGGTTAAACTGCATATTTTGAGTTAAGTTGACATTGAGACTGAGAAATGCATGCATATTCTCAACTCTTCATTTTTGGTTGAAAAAATAGGTTTGTAATAGTTACTCACAGTTTTTTTTAATTTAATTCTAGTATTTGTGAATTTGTTATAGGTTTCGTACTTTATTGAAGACTGCAAAGAAGAAGTTGCGGGATCAGGAAACCGGTGGAGCGGAGTACGGCTCTCCTATCAGCGGCCTACAGACGGACCAAGGCCGGCAGGGCCAGGCCGAGGGGGCCTTCGGACTAATGAAAGAAAGGGTCCGTCCGTGTGGTGAACCACTGCGATTTGGGTGTTGTAGTGGAAGATTTTTTCGTGCAATCAGGAATCAGTTCTGAAGTCTCTTGTGGAGGCAGGCAAGGAGGTCCCAGACCCAAAGGGAGACTCATGGTGCCTACAACAGATGTTTGATTAGATTTAGGACGATGGCTGGAGACGTTCACACCTTCTCCTTCCTCCACGCAGCCGTGTTATGCAAATGCAAGACAAATGGGACCAAAGAGAAGAGGTGCTCTGAGATTCTTCTGCTCAGATGGTTCCCACACAGCTGGTGTCATGAAACGTCCTCAGAATTAAACTCATGATTAGCTTTAGACATTAATCTAATAAAATATGATGGCATCATTATTATTTTATTATTATTATTCATTATTTTTCATGTCACCAGCTGGACGATCTGCAGCTGCAGCTGAAGAAGGAAGGCTCCCGTCGCAGCCAGCTGGAGAAGGCGAACAGCGACCTCACGGACCAGCTGGCCTCCCTGAAGAGCTTGAGCTGCAGTAATGACCAACTGGAGAGGAGCAGGAGGCAGCTGGAGGAGGAAGTACTGGACCTGAGACGCCGCATGGAGGCCTCTCAGATGGACCAGAGCCAGGTGGAGCGGGTTCGCCAGGATGCAGAGGAGCGGGCCCGCCAGGAAATAAACCAGAAACTGGAGCAGGTCAACATCTTCCTGCAGGTATTTTATGGATTAATGTGAAGGGAGTCCACAGCTGAGAAAATATCGCACTGCCCCATTTACACAACATAAATATAAAAGAAACATCAAGAAAGGATTAACAGACTGCAATCAGAATAATGAATAATTGACTAAATAAATGACTTGTGTGTTTACGGACATCATGTGTCTATTCATACATGACGGCACACGTTTGTCTCTCAGTCCCAGGCAGCATCCCAAGAAGCACTGGATCAGATCAAAGCCACCAATGAGGCCAACCTGCGCTCCCAGCTGGAGCAGAAGATCCGGGAGCTGGAGGGGGAGCTGGGCCGGGCCCGCACCACCCATCACGACAGCCTCAGCCAGAGAGACTCCACCCGCGCAGAGGTCGAGCGGCTTCGCCATCTCTACGCGGAGGAGCTGCGCCTCCGCAAGTCCCTGGTGGCCAAGCTAGAGAGGTGAGCCAGGTTGTTCTTCACAAGTCGCCCGCACATTTCTCTCTTTTTCTCCCTGAACTGGACCGACGATCCCCCCCGCAGGGCCAACAGTCGACTCGCAGAAGCCAATTCCAAGTTGCTGATCACCAGCAGCCTAGCAAACGGTAGCCTCGGGGGGCCCTCGCTGGACGTGGGCTCTCTGGGTTCACCGGCGCACTACGGGGCCACACTGGGGCCCCTCAACAGGAGCCTTGGCCTGGGACGCTCCCTCCTCAGCCCTGTGACTGACGGGCAGAGCAGCCGGGTGGAAGACTACCTAGCCAAGGTCGGTACCGGCATGAACGGACATGGTCGTGGTGATTACTGGGGAAATTCTTTCTGGGGGCCATTTTCATTTCTGTAGCGTCACGTTAGTCAGTGTTGCTGTTGTGTAACCGGGGGTCGTTTTGTTCAGACAAAGGTTAGTGTGCTGTGGCATCATCATAACCGTTTTACGGTGTCACACGTCAGTTAATTCAGATTGTGGAGAAGAAATCGTCTACAAGAACGCCGTCTGTCATTGTAGCCACTTCTTTTGTTTCTTCCTCTTTCTATCTCTTATGGCAGCGGGACTTTACTTCTAACCTGTCTTCTATTTCTCACTCCTATAGCTGCTAGCTCAAAAGTCTGTCTCTCATCTCTCTTCTCTTCAGCCAGACCCTTAACCAGGTTTGTAGATGTGTTTAGCTCAGTGTCTGATTGGCTGCTATCCTCTTCACCTCTGTTTCTATGCCAACCATGACGTTCAGGAATTGCACATTGAAAACGTAGTTGCGGTTTTGGTTTTGTTTGTTTATTTATTTAAGTGGTCGAAATAGACTCAACAGATGCCCACAGTTGGTATTGAAATGATAAATTGGCAACAAATGTGACAACTTTTAAGGTTTAATTGCAAAAGAATTGGATGGAATTGCAGCTGCGACATGTGCAAGGAGCCTGGTTAGTTACAGGAGTGACTACACGGGATGAAATGTCAATCCCAGATGATGTGGGCAAGAATAATTTGTACTTTGATTATTTGATTATTCTAAAGCAGCTTTCAGTATCCCCCAAAAATACAGGGTGAAGAGCAAATGTTCTTTTTAAAAAGCTAAAGTGACAAAATTCCTGATGGGACTTAAAGCGGATGAATGAAGCTCAACAGGCTTAAGCTGAATAGAACCTTTTGAATTTATTAAATGTTCATGCTATACTGTATATATCATTCAAAACTGTACAGGTGCTATACAGAACCAGGAATAAAACATTTGAAATTAAACACACAGACTAAACGCGCACCACATGCTTTTACATGTTAGTTATAAATACAGTTATTTGGGTTCATGTGAGATTCAGTCAGACCTTTGATCATTTCTCAAAATGCATCTTGCTCAAACTATTTGCATCATTTTGGGTCACTGGTTGACCACATCTACCCAGGTTTTGCAAATAGCAGTTGGATGGGAAGGCAACATCTCTCCACTGAAGCACACCTTGCATGTTTGGCATGTCACGAATTCTCCTGAATTCCTTGCAGTGCTTTTTTTCCCAGCGTCTATTCACCATAGTATTGCGTTTGCCGCTGAACTATTGCAGTTTCTTTTTCAAACGTGTAAATATATTTCTTTAAGGGCATGTCTTTTCAGTTAATATCTGCTGCTATTTTCCACCGAAACATCTGTTCCTCTTATCCAGATGCAGAGTGAGTTGGACAAAAACATTTCAAAAGAACTAAACAACGGTGAGTCAACGAGGCACAAATCCCCGCTGTCTTTAAAACATCTTGATACCTTCAACATGAATGAGATGTAACTCGACGTCGGTAACTTTATTCCTCTCTGGTCGTCAGCCGCAGCGGAGCTGGACGTGAGTGCGGCCCGTCTGTCCCCCGTGGGGTCGTCCTCCAGGGGGGAGCTGGACCCCGCCAGCAGGGCCACGCAGCAGTACTTGGAGGTACTAAAGAAGAACCGTATGATCTGAACACGGCTCACAGCGGCTCTGCGTCCACGTTTCTGCCGTTAAAAACAAACTTTTACGTATTGTCAAATGACATCAAGCTTTGTGCGTTTTCCTCTCCCTTCTTTTATAATGCACACTGCATTAACCACTGGGGAGCAAAGGGCGTGAGTCACTCATATGTATACCTATATTATGCATACATATATATACACGTTGATATGTATAATTAGCGAGGACCTCCAAAAGTATTTCTTCCGTCTGGCTAATTCCATTGCGTCTGTAAGTTTTCTTTTTATTTGGACAGTAATGGTTTGAAATTTTATTTGTGGAAATTGCTGTTGCTGAATTGATGCCGGTGCGCAAGTATTTGATGTATAGATCATTCATCATTTTGCTAAGATATTACATCTGGTACGTGCCATCAAATGGTGCAATAGACTCAGTGGAGTATTGTGTTTATAATTATTCACTAATATTTGTTTTATGATATACTTGAATAAGACGAGCTGGAATACTCTGGCTATTGAAACAGGGTGACTACATCTATACAACTGTCATTTCAACTTCCGGTTCGCTTCCTTTTCTGGGCCATTAAAAGTTCATAAATACTGTAATAGATGACGTATAGGAAACGTTTGACACGTGTACATTACATAAAGATAAAAAAAGCTGTTTGAGTGTTGAGTGATTTGAATGAATCATTTAGTTGGTTGGTTTGCTTTTAAAATGTCAACACAAAAGTGAAAAATCTGGATGAAACAAAACAAAAGAGAGAGAAAAGTTAACCATATAAAAAAAAGAAATAAATCCAGCGTGAGAAAAAAACCTTGACAAATTGAATTGAATATAAATGTACTGTTTCAGATGTTACTTCTACAAATAGTACATTAACTAAACTATGAAGTACGTTCCAAATATAAGTCCCCCTGTTTTAACGCGGCCTTTTGCACCCGTTCAGCCTCTGATAGATCTGATTAATGCGACTGGATAGTTGAAAAGAAGAAATATTTCCTCATTCAGTTCAGTTGAGCTGCACAGAAGAACTCTGCAGCCTTTGTGTGCACAACTCCGACTCCAGGTATCTTAATTGAAGATAAAATGCAGCTTTTACCATCAGTATTTCCCGCACAGGCACTTTCAGCCCATCCATCATTAGTTATGTTTTGATGTACTTCACTTTAACGCCGTGCCCCCCCACGTCTAGCCCCCCCCTCACACATGAAACTTGATGATGTGCGCTGGTTTGGAAAGCATTCCCCCCACTTATTAAAATGTGTTCATGATTGCCCCCCTCTGGTGCGTCGCTCTTCCCTTTGATCCGTCCTCTCTGCGTCAGCCTCAAATGTTCCATATTCAAATCCGGTTACATTTATTTTTGTTTCCTTTACAGCAGATGGGCACATCTGACAGACTGACTATTAGGTGTTATTATTCCCCCCCCCTCATTTTTTTTCAGCAGACGCCCCTTCATACATTACACGAAAAGCCGCTTTTGATTGAGGAGGTTACAACCGTTGTCGTAAAGCTTTGGAGGCCTGTGAGAATACTAATAGACAGATTCTGGATAAAGAAAAGTGTTGTTTGTGGAAAGCAGCTGCGCTGTAAAACAAAGGGCTGCTCCGTCTGAGACGCCAGCCTTGTTTCCTCAGGACTGCCAGTCCAACAATCGTTGATGAAGAACAAGGTGTCAGGTTTTCAACCTGGGACGCGTCTTATTAATGCATCTTTAATTTACCGTGATGCGGATGTGCAAATGAATCTCTTAAACCAAATTCTTTTTCATAAGAGATGGATGAATTGACATCTATTTACCTGAATACAGAACAAAAACAAAATGTTTCCTGCATCCTATGAGACCCAAATCTGCTGGTTTAATTAAGTGTTGATTTCATATGAGTTCCCCGCAACAGAAATACACACCCATCTTTATTTATCGCTGGTTCTGAATTCACTTTGACAATTTCAGCTGTTTATTGTGGCGCTAGACATGGACTGTGGGTAAAGGGTAGAACAAATTGGGGGGGACAAGTGGAACAAACCAGGCTGTTTATTTGTTGCTGTACGCTCGCCATGCCCTAAATTGGACGTCACTGCTGTTTCTTGTCACTGGCGGAATGGAAATGCGTCGTGGGCAAAAGAGATACTTAAATTTGATTTACTCGCTCTAACATGATTTAAATGAGCCTCTTGGCTCGCCGGACAGATTGACAGTGCTGTCTTTATCGCCGCTTTGTTTTATTTTTGGCTGTTTACTCTGCCTGTCTGCTGTCATCTCGCACGACGACTTAAAAGGAGCCGGCTTCGATCTCCGAGATCTGGAGAGAATAAGCATCCTTTTATGTTCCAAGTGCTTTTTATGCCATATATGAAAAAGGATTCATGAGAGAGCTGACACGTTTTTAGTCGCCCTGTTCCTCAGCTGCAAAGATCTGTGCAGGAAGAAGTCAAACCTGCAATCTGACGACATCAGAACCCGTGCACAACCGAGCAAAGAGGCGGACCCCTCTCGTTCGGGGTCGTGCCAGGTCAAAGTCATTAAATCAAACAAAAGGCTGTATTTCTGGAGTAAAAAGCCTGCATCTTCAATGCATTGTAGATTAAATGCTGCAGTGCAGCAACGTTCCGTTCTCGTTTGGTTCAGTATTAATCAGAGTCCCAATCTTATGTATCATGTCTATCAAAAGAAATTTAACAAGCAGACCAAATGACCTTGACACATTCCTTTTAATATTTCAAATGCTCTTTGAATGAAATTGCCACTAAATCAACCAGGAGATAAATAATGCACCCTCTCCCCCTCCTGTCGGCCTGCTTGCTGTTTCATACGAGAATGTTCACATGTTTAAGGATTAGGGAATAAACTCATGCACCACTGCACCAATATCTTAGTTTAGCATGAAGACTGGTAATCTGATGGACACAACAACCCCTGTGACACTGATCCGTGTACGAACTAAACAATGAGCTAGAGAGCTGCTGATCGGCACAATTCCCTTTGGTTTATGCTTCATATTCAACAGACCGATACAAGAGTGGTGTCAACACGCTCAGCTAACGCGCTAAAATCGAATAGGCCTTTGAGAGTTGGACACTTTTATACATGGATCTGGAAGGTGATTAGCTTAGCTTAGCATAAAGACTGGAACAGTGGGCAAACAGTTTGTTACTGGATGAACGCCATATAAAATAAGCATATATGTTTCCAGGCCATGATGACGGAGTTAAAGAATATGATTAAGCAGATGAAACGGGCATGAGCTCAGCGGGGGATCGAGATGAGCCTCCGGTGTGGTTCTTTGTTCTTCTTTCAGGTCAGATATGACCAATAAGGATGTAGGCGAACGTCGCCCTGCCAGCATCTCATCTACTCCTTCAACAAGTATTCTGAATATTCTTTAAAAGTGCTTCAGGTCAAGTCACGTGTCATCACTAGTATTGTCGAGTTCAGCAGCTGTTTTTGTTGTCCACGACTTTCACAATAAGATGCTTCGTCAAAAGAAATGTCTCTGCGGTGCCAATGAGCTCCACGTTGGCTTTAACGTCATCGTCCACACCTTCTAGCTGCCGTCGCAGCACTCCAGACACCCGGTGGGCAGCAGCACCGAGTGGCAGTCGTGCTCCTCCGCCGGCGCCTCCTGGAAGGCCGACCAGCAGCAGAGGGCCCCGAGGCCTCCATCGGGCCCAGGAGCCGCACGGGGCAGTGCGGCCAGAGACTGCGGGGGAACCGGATTAAGCCGAGGAAGATCACAGGCGAACGGCTCTAAAAGACCCTCGAACACCGACGTCACAACCGGGGGATTAATGACTCCATTAACCCCAAATTAATCCCGCACGTGTTTTATTTGTCGTGCCGACTGGAACTTAAAAGAGAAACTTCAGCCGCCGCCGTGATCAAGTGAGATTGTGTGTACTTAATCACAGAGCTGCGTTCAGTCCTCAGGGGAAAAGGAAAAAAGGCCAGCGAGGCTTCCGGAAACAAACAACAACTAGGAAGAAGCTGTCACTCCGTAATTGCTCTCCCACCCAAATTAGGTTCAGATGAGATTGCATGCATTAACCCCACCGGCGCGTCCTAGCTGTTGTATCGTTACTCCGCTACCGTTTTCATCCTCGCGAGCAGCACAAAGTGAGTGAGCTCATGCAAATCGGGCTGTTTTATCCTGTTTACTCAAGGAGGGGAATGGAAAGCAGGTGGCAGAATTCCCTGGGGAGTCGGGTTCAGCCTTTTCCTCAAATTATACACCGCTGCGCATAACAAATGCTAATATCTATATAGCGTGTAGATGAAATAGGAGCATTATGTGTGGCTACTGTATTGATTTAATAACGCACAACTTCATAGAGTTACAACACCAACATGAGGATAAACAAGGAGAAAGTGCAGCCGTTTGAAAGTCTTCAAGGGAAACTTTCTGCTGCTCCGCTGGCGTAAAGAGTACGATTGAAACATTTCGTTGTTACTTATTTCTCTGCATGTAGAGAGCATTATGCTGCTAAAGTCAAAATAGAAGATATCAACACGACGTAAACTGTTTTGAGGGAAAGTGCTCTGCGAGAGTCACGACATTGAGCTTCAGTCGGCGTGTTGTTTGGTGCACAAATGGTACGCTGAGGTCAGCGGGGTCGGTGTTTCCTCTGCTAACAGGATTTCCTGTGCTGATTTTAGACCTTGAGACACATCAAAAGAAAGTAACGTTTGCTGACAGGCTGTCAAAAGATTCAACAGATTCCTCACTGACCGCACAAAGAAATGATTTAATACGTGCAGTGTGCTTTTCGCATCATCAATTTAAACCCTCGGATGTCCCATGATGTTTTTATTGATTTCCTGTGTTATTTCCTCCAAGGTTTCTTGAGCAAACAATGAAAACATTTTAACGGGATAAAAATGGGCCTGGTAAATGGGTATTGTCTCCTTCAGCCGGAGCCTAATGAGAAGAGGCCTTAGCAGCAGCTTCCGTGTGTTAAGAAGAACAAGCTGCTTTTACAGCTTATTTCAGATGATGGGTTCTTGCCTTTAGTCGCGTTGCTTGGCTCCTCCGCGTCTCCTGGCACCATGTTTGATGCTCACGACTGCTCGGGGCCTCCGTCCCACTTTTATCAGCCCTTTGACTTTTCCCCCATCCCGCTTCTGTCAGGGATGCGTGGGGGAGGCAGGACTCAAACGCAGACTCCTCCGGAAACAAAATACTTTAATAGTCGAAAAGGGAAAATCACAGGGCCAAAAACACACAGGCAAGAAACTACGGACGTCCACGACAATAGACAGGAGACACACGGCTTAAATACACAAGGGAGGTGCAGGTGATTGGACACAAGTGGAAACTATTAGACGATCACAGGGGATGGCGGGACAAGGCAGGAAGTGAAGTTACCCGGGGACACGAGTGGCAGAAAACTACAAAATACAACAGGAAGTGAACCACACCGTGACAGCTTCTGTCCTCCGGCAACACCCAACAGGCCGGCCTGAGTCACTGTGTGTGTGTGTGTGTGTGTGTGTGTGTGTGTGTTTGGTGGCTGTTCAGTGACTTAATGACGCTCTGATCACAGAAGAGTGTCCCCGGGGACACATACCCCACCAGTGTGTTGGCCTCTCTTCAGTACACTCGTGCTGACCTTCCACAGCTGTACAGCCTCCTTCTCCACAATCGCTCCTTTTCTCTGTAATTCATGCGTTGGAGTTGATATTTTGTTCGTCAGTATGACTTCACGCCGGGCGTTCATGTGATGGAGGTCACAGCTGTATTGTTTTCTCTGTCTCAATTGAAGATCTCTTAAGAACCTGCTGGTTGAGACACAAAGGCATCGCAAATATTTCACACCCAAAAACAAAACACAAAAAAACAATGAGAGAATCATAAAATATCAAAGAGATTGATCACCAATCTTCAAAAGTCATCAAAACGTGAGGGACCAATCAATCAAACCAACATCGGCCAGATGTGTGCCTGTCAATTAGTTACCGTAGTGTTTTAAAAGATGTAAGATGGAAACACACCAAGAAGTAAGAATATGAGCGTGAATCCAAATTCAACCCAATTTATATCAAAAAGGTCAAACAAACAAACCAATGGAACCAAACAACAATAAAAATCCTTAGTTATGACATTGTTCAAGATTATATGCAACAACATATTCATGTGCAGTGTAAGTAACACTATTTGTATATATTTACATGTTATTATAAATGCTAAATCTCACGGTCATTCTTCAGTGGAGTTTGTTTTGCCAAAGATACAAACTGTGAATGTATGTTGATGCATTTTCAGTGCAAAGTGCATCATCTGAGACACGTAATCAATCAAGTTTGTATCTCCGGAACCAAACAGAACCGTCTTCAAATAAAGGCTCGGTTAGTGACATCTAAATAAGACTGGGACGTGTTGAAGAGGTTGGACACCCGGAGGACAGCGTCAGCTGATGAACGGAGGCCGGTCCTTCCTGAGGGGTTGTTGACTAAGTGCTGTCAAAAGTGCTGCGTGCAAAAACATGTCGACTCGCAGCGAGCGTACGGCACATCAAAGCCACGCGTAAGCGGAGCTGTTGAGGTTGTCTGGCGCCGTGCTCACGTTCAGTCAGGCAGGGGAGGAAGTGTCACCTCACGGGCTGACAGCCAATCAAAGGGAACGCTAACTTCTTATCAGCAAAGACAATTACTGACATTAGTCAAAACAGGAAGCTGGAGGAGCAGAGGCCTTTGTTGTGCGTTTGGTGATGGAGCCTAAAGTTTCGCTCGTCAGCGGCACGATGCCGTAGTTTATCCGTTTGTTTGAGCATTTTACGTGAGGATGTGATGAACCGGAGGAGAACGTCAAATCTTTTTTCAGTGACCGCGATGAGAAAACAGTAGGTGCTGTTAATGTATTGTGACTGTACACGATGTGTATTTGCTGTTTTCTGTATGGCAACTTTAATGCATTCATCCACCTGCCTGCGTTTTATTCTCATGCTTTTCTTTGTTCAAAGCAGCTACTGAAACACATAACTAAAGTTGTTGTGGAGGGTTCTGATGGCACCAGATATCCAACCAATGTGAGAAGATTTTAAACGATCAGTATCTTATTTCCTATTAGAATAATACAAACTGATCAACATGCTACTGCGATTTGCGATGACAACAAAAAATGACAACACTTCCCATCCACATACATTTATTCTATTGCAATCAGACACAAATAATTACTGACATGTTTTATAAATACAGATATTTGTATGAGCACAGCATCTATTGTAAATACTCAAAATGTTATAAATGTGTGACTTCTTTATTTCAGTGGAAACAAGTCGTATTCAATACATTATTTTCAGAAACAGATACAAGAAACACAAAAGATGTATTTACTTCTTAAGAAACGGACAACAGAGAGAAGTCACACACGTAACGTTCACTTTACTACGTGAACACGTTCATTCATATCAGAACAAATGTGTCTCTGCTTTGTCCTTTGGAAAAGTTCAATTTCCTCCAAACTCCGATTGCAGCTCTTGTTTTAAGGTGTCCAATGTGACTTTGAGTTCGCCTCGATATATTTTCTTGGACTTTTTCATATGGATGGTTCACATGAGAGCAACTGTAGGGTTTTAAATACAAACTATGTCCTAATTATTGTAACAAATCCTTTTATCACATCTTTGAACTGTAGCTTTAAAGTTTCTTCTAAATCTAATTTCTAAAATAAAAGAAGATCACCATCAATGGAAAAACTACACGTGTAACATTGTACTTTTTCTTTCAAGTCGAATGTTTTTTCAGACAAAATCATTTGTCATATGTATGAATATATGAAACATAATGAACACCATTAGGATTATGTCGGTTTTTATGTGTTTTCGATCAAATACAGATGTAGACGAAGAAGAAGAAGAAGGTCAAACAAACGCTCTTGGTCCTTTGCTCCAAAAGGGACCTTCAACGGGAGGGAAAACGAAGCCTTTTGGAGTTTGCATGAGGCGGATCTCGCTGGCGGACTCACGCTGGGGAGAAGTTTGCTTTCCTGCGGCTGCTCGTCGCGTTGCTCTCCTGTATTTGACTTCCATCAGCGCTCTCCGGTCCTCCCGGTACCGACGTCTGCAAACAAGAAGAAGAAAGTGGCTCGAGGGGCTCCAGCTCCTCTAGTCGCTGTCGGCTGCCGCTCGGCCGGATGGTCCCCAAGTCCAGGTTGGAGGAGACGTTCTTCATCAGCGTCGGACTCCTGTGGAAATGTACAAACGGACGCAGTCCTTGTGTGATTCTCTGCAGGCAAATCAATAGCATGCAAATATTAAAGAAGCCACAATGTGGAAAACAGCAATAGTTAGAGGCAAGGTCACTTATGATGTCAAATAATTCACTTGCATGAAGAACAGTTGAAGAGTCTCCAACTAGAACCTTGAAACTGTCACCAGTCACATGTATCATTCATCTACTGACACTCATTAATAACTATTTGGTGGAGCACATTTTGTACTTCAGATCTTATTGTACAGGAACGTGGCTTCACTAGAGACGATCTTTCATTCATGTCAGCATATTACAGCTCACAAGCTTTTATTCAACAGAATTATACAAAGAACCAAGACGAAAAAGGGTGAAAATAATTTCCTAAAATTTGCCAAACGGTTGAATTCTTAATAAAAGTCACCATTTATTATGAAACAAACATCTGTAATTATTTATTGTTGTACATGTAACCTTGTATGATCATAGATATGCTAAAATGATTTCATAAGAAAAAACATTTACGTTTAATCATTTACGTTTAATGTTATACGATTCTATATTTTAACATTTTAGTATCTTCAACCAAATACAATGTTTTGCTATTTTATTAGACTCTTGCTGTATTGGTGAAGCAGCTGTTGGCTCGTACCCGGTGACCCTCTGGGATCTCCTCCTCTGGTACTCCACCTCGTCCACCGTCCACACGGCGCCTTTCACGTTCTCCACGCGCACAAAACACTTGTGCAGGCTCAGGTTGTGACGCACCGCGTTCTGACCCGGAGTGACAGCAGAGGAGACGTTACTGACACGGGATGACAGTTAATAGTGGGGGGGGGTAGGGGGGGTGAAGGGGGGTGGAGGGGGGGTTACCTTCCAAGTGGCCGCGTTGCGTCTGAAATAAGCAAACGTCCGTGTGAACCAGTTGTAGATCTCGTTGAGTGTTAGTTGCAGGTCGGATGTTTCCATTATTGCCTGCAGACAATAATCGTAATAATAATAATAATCAAATGAACTATTACGAGTCTTTTGAATTATTCTATGAATAAACTGCCTTTACAGAACGTCGAGCTGTTGTTTTTCTCCTTTTCACATTCTGAGGACCAACGATCCAAAACGTGAAAACAAACTAAGAATAACTTGTTAGAAAAAAGGAGTTTAAATAACACAAAGACGTGAAGTGACGTCACCTGTCTGATGAGGGTCGCGTAGGTGAAAGGTGGTCTGATGTCGGTGGTCTTGTAAAGCTCGTGTTCATCCTCTGAAACGAGACCACCGCGGTGAGTGAAGGACGTCACACACACGCACGCACGCGCACGCACACACACACACACACACGCACACACGCACACACGCACACACGCACACGCACACGCACGCACACACACGCACACGCACACACACACACACACACACCTGAGGACAGCGAGTAGACCAAAGGGTGATGGCGACGTCGTTGTGCGGCCCTGTGACCGGGGGACTGTCCTCCGCACACCGGGGACGGGGACACCCGGGCCGAGTCCGATGGACGCGGGGGGGGCAGGACGGAGCCGAGCTGAGGGCGGAGGGGAGGGAGGGGGGTAAAAAACAACAGGGTGTAACGGAGCGATTTGATTCGCCTCCTCGGAGGTGATTCCACTTATTTCGCAAGAGGAAGGAAGACAATTATTGTTAATTATAGGGTGAAATTGTTTGGTGGGTGTTTTGATTATCGTGCAATATTTGCTAGATTAACATCTGATTAGCTTCCACATTATGAGCAACAGCCATCTGGGCCAACAGCTGGGAAGCACTCACACCAAACAAGAACCACATCTGAACAAAAAGGCCCAAAATGAAAGAGGCATCTGTGATGTAATCTGGCAGTTTTTCTGTGTCCCTCATTCACTCCTTCTGTGTTGCTCACACAGCTGTCGATGCACCTGTGTCCCGTCTACCTGAAGACTGGCCGGTTCTGATTGTGGCGGCTGCAGAGGTGCAGAGATCGACTGAGACTCCAGAGGTGGCAGGTGCAGGTGATCCATCATCGCCCGCAGACGCTCCCGTTCTTTGCCGAGCTGGGAAAAGAAATGAGAATCAGTGAACGCGGATCGCTGAAACGCTTCGACCTTCGAGTGTCAAACAAGAGGGAGGAGGCGGCGTATATTTCTCCCCCCAGCATCTCGCTCCCTTTCCTGCACTCACCTGCATCCCGAGCTGCTGGACCACCTGCGTCTGGACTCGGCACTGCGCCGTGCTTCTGTCATCCAGGGTGTGCTCGCCGCTCATGTGCCTGAACCACACAGCGGGGGGGCGTTAAAGCCATACTGAAAATCTGTCTATTCAGCATCAAATACTTCTAAAAAGGGTGGAGCTTTGCAGAGATAATTAACGTCAGCTTGAATGCACAGCAGCTACAGCGAGAAACGTGTCAAAATCTATCAAAATATTTCTGGAAAGAAATGGAATTTCATGAGCTATAAAAGTGCAGAATGTTTGAAGCATACTTGAAATATGCATCAAGGTGGCATGAAGGATTCTCGAGTGCTTTGAGAGGTTTCTATTCCATCTATTTGTTTTTATTGTCTCTTATTCACCCTTGAAATAGATTGTAATTGTAATCCGTGTGACTTTTTAGCCGCAGGTTGTGCTTGTCGTGCCTTATCCGTACTTTTAAGTGCCTGAGACAAGCATCAGTTGATCTGAAAGATAAATCCCGAGAAAAGAAAAGTCATCTTCACTAAAGAAATGTGTCTCCAGCATTCTCAAATATTGGGCTAAAAGAAATACATTTTTAAATCCAGATTCCTGTATTTCTAAATTACATTTAATCTCAGCGATGATGGCTCAGGTAAAAAACATCATTTTCTACTAATGTCGTACAAAATACGAATTGACAACTTGACAAACTGGAGGGAAGTGGACAAAAGTAGCTCATCTGTAACTGTGATTGTGTTTCCCATGTTTCAGAACTCTGGTACATGAATGTAATGGCAAACTGCAACAATGCCGCTATTCAAGCTTAAAGTGGAACTTGACAATAAAAGAATTGAAACTCCTTTGAATCCAAAGACAAAGGTGGAAGGAGTCAGTAGGACTTTGGGATTAAAACCTACCTGAGGAACTGGCTGAGGGTTTCACACGCCGACTCACATCCGGGCCAATTACACACTCCGTGAGCGTAGAGAGCGCGCGTGGCGCCGCACTCCTCTTTGACAGCGCTGCAGTCAAAGTATTGTCATGATTCAAAACCACAGCAACAAAGCAGAAGTAAAACAAATAGAAAAGCACTTTCCTTCTTTCTCAGCTGGCAGAAAATGACAGAGAGAGGTGCAGGGGAGCAAGTGGAAAACAAACTATTTACTTTTGATTTTGGGACGTGTATTCATGTAAACTTTTTCTTTGCTTCACCCACTTAAGGTGGAGCAACGTGAAGCAAACAAACAAGATAAAACACGACGGTCCCGAGGGGAATTAGTCTCTGCTGCAAAAACAAAGCCAACAGCTTCTCGCTCCTTGAGAGGAAGAATGACAAGCCTTTGGTGTTTGGGAAGAAGCGCCGTCGTCTCGCTTCTCACTAGCAGCTCACAGCACCAACACCCGGATCGTACCGCGTCGCCCGGCGAGGAGACGGCGACCCCTGGTCTCCGCTCGGCCTCCCCAGGTCGGGACCGGAAGGCTCCCGATGGCTCTTCGGTGCGTCTTTGTCTTCAGTCGTGAGCTCTTTCCACGTCTCTGCAGAGCCGAAACCAGCTGCGACGTTAAAGCAACACACAGTACAATGAACATGTAGCGTCTACAAATGATGCTCAGCTTAAACTGCTATTTAAAATAAGTCAGTGTAGAATGAAGCTTCGGGGCTCAGCGCTTTCTCGTGACCTCGTGTCACCTTCCCACTGTAACTCAGGAATAATTATCACAGCTTGAAAACGAGTGAGGATCAACTTTTACTCTCAGGTTTCACTTTCATTGTCGTCGCTTTCGAGTTTATTGCATTTATGTGACAAAGCGTGAAAAGATCAACAAGAAAGAGGCCTCGGTGACTAAATCCTAATCCGATGGCTTTATGCAACCTTAACTCAACTTTCACCTCAAACGACAACACTAAAGACACAAACACTTTGGTGGTGCTTTGCAGACACTGCTGCAGAGGGAGAAGAACCAGGTGACCTGGAGCGAGGGCCGGGGGGGGCAGCCGAGGTCTCTGCAGCCGGAGGAGCTGCTGCTGTTGCTGCTGCAGCCGGAGGAGCTGCTGGAAGACGAGCTGCTGCGCAGGGAGCTGCAGGATGGAGGACACGGCGTCACTCAGAGGACAACAGGTACTTTTCATGAAAACACTTTTGGATCAGTGGCGTTTACTGCGTACGTTCATGCATTCTTCCACAATTAACTTTGACTGTGAATGTAAATCATTCTTCTCAAACACATCAGCGTTGCATCTCTTTCTAACGGATCCTCTACCTTCAAATTGTTTTTGTAATTTTCAGGACAAATTCTATTGAAATTACTCAAAAGAGCTTTTACGCTGAAATAGTGATGTCAAGTAAGTGCAAAGCCAGTCAAACAAACGCAGGTAACTACTCACCTCTTTGGCTTTCTTGCAGGACCTTTGTTGAAGCAGCTGCAGATGAATCTGTTGTTGTTGCTTCTTGTAAAACTCTTTCAGATGTTGCTGGAAAAACAGCGATGTAGCATTTTGAAACGATGTTAAAAAATAAAGACTACTAGTCAAAACTAGACTAGAATATGTAAAAGAGTACAAATGTAGTTGCCATCAGTAAAACATTTCTGCAAGTCTGTCTCTTTAGGGAAGTTTAACACGTTTTCTTTTGGTGACTAAGATTAAAGTACAATTGCAGTCGGTGAACTCAAAGAACCTCAAAAACATTTTTAAAAAAGCAGAAAGGAGTACAAGAAAACCTTTAATTGTACTTTTTTGTTTCGATTTAGTACAGTCTAGCTCCTACAATTGGAAGGTTAGCAGCTAATGCTAACTATGCTAACTGATATAACCCCATTGATTGGGGATTCCAAGTCAGAAATGCCATCTGGACACTTTTGTGCATTATTGCAAACCCCCAAAAAGAGCAAGCAGTAGTCCATGTGAGCGTTGCACAAGCACCTGCTGCAGGAGAAGAGCTTGTTGCTTCTGCTGGATCACAGCCTGCAGCTGGTCGGGGGACAGCAGCTGCTGCATCATAGCCAGAAAAACCTTTGAGCACAAGTGGAAGGAGAAAGCGATTAAGGACCAAAGTCTATAGAGGGAAGGCTGGAGGACAAGTGAGCGAGACGGAAGGCAGGAGTCAAGTGTTAAACAGTAATGAGCATCCAATAGGAGTCTTTTCAATCCAATTACCAAGCAGTGATGTCAACCTTTTGTGAACACCATTATGCTGAATTGTGTCATTGGCCGTAAATGAGATGGAAGATAGACTGAGCAGTTAATTAGCAACACAATGACACGCTTGTTGTGACTCCTAATAGAAGTGCACGGGTATTAACGAAGGCAAACACTCCCGGAATAATAACTGATCTGCACTGTTACGGATTGAGGGACAAATAACAGAGTGGACGTCTCCCTTTGTGTTCACGCTGAGGACACAGCAATTGCCGTGAATGTATTAAAAAAAACACTCACAATGCAACATGTTGTATGGAAACAAGAGCAAGGCCGTCAATTGATTGCTGGAGGAAACTTATTAAATGAACATATTTTTCCAGATATAAATATCACTGCTGTGAGTAGGTCTCATGAAGCCTCGTGGCTCAGCGGCTTGTAGGACGTAAAGAGGACGCATGAAGGACCTGAAGTCTGTCATTTATCACACGGATTCACACTTTGACACTACAGATGTAATAATCTGCATTTATGATTCTGCGAGGAAAGGTGAACATTTTCAGATTTTCTCATTTCAAATTAAACATCCAGAGAAAAATAATACGGAAAAATAGGACAGAGAAAGTGGTGGTGGAACAAGCAGCATGCTCCATGTGCAGCACCACCGGTCACTCCCTTCACACCCCGCATGTCACTTTCACTTACAGTGTGTAGTACGGTTATCGCTTTTATTTTTAATTTGTCTATTCCATATCCCCCCAGCCCATAGCCTCATATTTTATTCCGTAGAGTTAAATAGTAAATTTGTAAATTCAACATGCCGTTTTCTTGTCGTCCATTGTCTTACTTACTACGCATCAACCGCCAAGTCAAAGTCCTCGTATGTCTAACATATTTTGGCAATAAATGTTCATGATCCCTGATTCCTGATATTATTTAAATGCACAAATAAAAGGTTATTTTAATTTGAGGGAAAAAAGAAAAAGTGATTATGCCAAAATTAACAGAAAAAAGAATATTCATCACAACAAACCACTTAAACACACAAAGGCTCATATGATCACAGAAAATCACAAATAAAACAGCACGTTTAAAGATTGTGCTCACGGGTGCCAGCAGACCCTTTTTAATGTTAAGTTCATGAAGTTAATTAAGAGAAAAGTGACGAGCGGACCGGCTGAAGGACCAAGTGTTCGTTAGAAGGATCACAGCAGCAGACAACAGGTCGGCTCATTCGCTTTTCCCTGCATCTGTCTGACAATTATTTCTCCCTGACTCTGGACGGACAAACTCCCGTCTCGGATCGGACCTCACACGGAACCCGTCAGCAGAGTTTTGGTGTCCTGTCAGAAGACGTCCAACAAAGAGCCGTCGCGTATTGCTTTTATGAAGAGGAGGCTGACGGGGAGAAGGAGGTGGATGAAGATACCTGCTTATGGTGAAGATACGACCAGTTCTCCCCATCGGCTACTCTCCCTCCTGCAGCCGCGTCGGCGTGACTGAGAAGGCTGCTGGCCGGCGTTTGACGGGCTGTCGGCGGACCGAGAGGAGACTCAGGCATCCCAGCTCGGGTCCTAAAAGAGAACAGTCAAGCCGAATGTGCTGTGAGACACTGTTTCCACCTGCAGAAGAGCAGAGATAACGGACGTGCTGCCTGACTGAGGAGATACAGAGAAAACTACATCAAGTCTTTTCACAACTGCAGTAAACTTTACAAGGCTTCAAATGTCAGGGAATTACAGAGATTCATCAATACTTCAGTATAGTTTATATTTCCAAATCATCCAAATCTCAGAACACAACTAACAAGTTTCACAGTGAATTCTTAAAGGAAAGTGTCCACATTTAGACAATATTATTTGATATATTGAACATTCTCTTTTGAACCTTTTTTTGCACTTTTATTTTCCTCAAATCACTGCTATAGTCAGTAGATGTATTGTGGCCCTTTGTTAGCAGGCGTAAGAGCCAGGATATGGAATAATGCAGTAATGAAATGCAACTTTTTGCATGTCTTAACTAATGCAGCACATGAAGAAGAAACTAAGAGGTAAAAAAAGATGCTACATATGCAACAGAGCAATACAATACAGACTATTACCTCTGAAATAGTTGGACCTGCTCTATTTGTGGGCGAATGGTGAGAGCTACGTACCGTGAAGCTGATGCGTGGATTCGGAGCAGCAGGCAGAGTCACGCAGTGTGAAGTGCGGCTGGCAGATGTGATGGCGTTGTGCGTCTACCTGAGGGGGAGGAGCCACGTTGATTACAAGGATGAACCAGAGCAGCTTGAGCTGTAGATCCTGTGGAGGTTTAACTGCTGCGTGTCTTTACATTTGGAGTCATTGCTCTTTTTCGGTAAATTGTAAAAAAAGTCCTCTACGTTTTGCAAAATCAATAAATCCCATCTATTAAAAAGACGACGTATTCTATTTGTAATGAAAGAAATGTTTTTCTTTCTATTCGTCTATTTTTATTGATATTCTTAGACATAAATAAAGCATCATTTATTGTCTTAACAAATGGTTCTCTTTGAAAAAAGATAAGTAGAGTCGTCTGTGACTTTATTTAGAAATGTATCAACAAGGAACAGAACTCAGCTGTCAAACTGTTATCAAAGAGCTATTTACAGTAGAGCTTTTATTTGATCTGTTAAAAAGAAATACTTTTGCCTCTTGATAAATAAAGTGCATCCTGTCGTGTAAACAACATGTCTCCATGTTGTTCCTTCGTCTTCTGAGCACACCATGATTTTAAACTCCCGCCGCGTCTTCCTGTAATGTCAGCTCTTCCTTTCCAAATACATGTGTTACAGATTGCGAGGACACAATGCAGCATGAGGACGACAGAGACATCAAGGTAAAGAACACACGGGTCATTTTATTTCATTTGTTGCACACAATGTTAAGTGTTTCTCTCTCTTCATGGAAGTCTGAAAACACGCCGTAGCTGGGAATTAAATGTGCAGCTATTTACACCATGTAGATGTGGATTAGATGTGGATTAGTGCTCTACATTTAGACACAATAGAAATGAATGATTGAAATGGAGATATTGTTGCTATGGAAACTTTCTGCCACCTGCTGGATTAGTATTTATTTGCCCTCAATGTTTTTATTGGATGACAAAAGAATGTCAGCTTCTCCTGTGTGGTCAGAACCTGGTGTTTCCTTTCCCGTCTTTAAGGCGCCTCAGGGAGGAACCACAGGTTGACTTTGCACAGTAAAGGTCTCATCAACTCCTGGACGGATGGAGGGGAACCTGAGCTCCTGCCAGCGCCGGATCATTGGACTCACAGCAGTGCAGACCCAAGGGAGCTGTGTGTGGTGTCCAGTCCAGAGAGGTCATGTGATACCTTCTCTGTCCCTGCATGGGGCATTGTGGCTCCACCCGACACAAACATCTGCCATCACAGAACCTTCCCGGGAAGCAGCCGGCCTCCTCGCAGCCTGGACGCCTCTCTGCGTCTCCCTCCTCCCCCGGGCTTTGTGCCGCCTGGAGTCCCCCTGCTGGAAGCCTCTCAGGTGAGCTTGTGGACACAGTGGACACCCCAGTAATGGCCCCGACCGCCCCGGCAGCGGCTCACCTTCACAAGGCGTTCACGGACAGGTTGTGGCGCACGCTGTTCCTCCAGCCCGGACGGCGCCTCCTGAGGTGAGGAAAGCGCTCCTCCTTGGCTCTGTAGATGGACGCCAGCTTGAGTTTCTTGGACGGGGAGGACAGGAGGACTTTGGCATCAATGCGATGTAGGAGAGTGGGGGCCGTGAGAAGGAGCTGCTTGCGTTTCTCTGCTGCTCTCTGAAGAATCCGAGCGATGTTGAGTTATTTGTCCTCTCTCTGGTTCATTTATTCACTGCAGGAATATGATAGATTTCCAACCCCACATATTCTGGCAGTCCGCTTCATTCCTGTTGCTGGTCACTATTTCCTTCCAGACAGCCTTTATATGTTCATAATCAGTTCAAGGGGTTGAGACACAACGCTCTTACTCTGTCACAGCCGTGAGATCAACACAGGATCAATCTGGATGTGTAGAAAACAGAATGAGCTCATGCTTCTTTTTTCTATCAGCTTTTTAAAGGTATTTCGGGGAGTCAGGACTTGGTCAGTGGGAAGGATTTTGTTCCGTCATGTGACACATTGTTTGCCAAAAGCAAGAAAACACAAATATGTGCCGTGATAAACATGTTCCTTGTTTTACAAACAGCATTACAGGGAGACGTTACAGTTACATGAGAACCACTTATTACTTATTACTCTTTGATCATAAAACACAAACTTCCTCTTCCTCAAAGAGGCAAAGGGAAGGTATTTTGCCTTCCTGAGTTAAGACTGCTGTACATAGTTAAAGCCCCCCTGGCCTATTTATAGCGTTGGGCCTTGCAACAATGTCCTCTGTAACTGGACTCCATCTGTTAAGTCATGTTGAATGTCAGTTGCCAGAAGCAGACGCACTGCGCTTCACTTCCCGCTGACTCTCCTACGGAGCGCCGCATGGAGTTTGTGGGACGACCGAGACCTTCCGGGGCCTCCAACCTCTTAGGAGTGCCGGGCCTCGGCCCCCTGGAAGTGGACGACGATGAGTGTGAGGTGGTGATCGGCATCAGGCCCAAATCCTCTCCCCTTCCTCGCAGAAGGAGCTCTGACAGCGACGAGGACTGGGAGCCCGGGCCGCCCCCGTCCGGCTCCAGGAGAGTGTCCTTTGCAGACGCCAAGGGCCTCACTTTGGTGCACGTGAAGGAGTTTGAGACTTGGAATGGACCCAAGCTGCCAGCATATGACTCCTCTGAGGGCCACGGTAGCGATGGAGAGGTGTACTTCCTGTCTCCTCTCACTTTCTGCCTTCCGTTGTCTCCCGAGGAGCTGTTCCTAAGAGTCCAGGAGCAGAAGATTGAACTGGAGACCATCGAGTTACTTCCCGGGACCACGGTACTGAAAGGAGTGATCCGCGTCCTCAACATCTCCTTCAATAAAGCCGTATACATCCGGACCACTTTGGACGCCTGGTCCAGCCACTTTGACCTGCTGGCGGAGTACGTCCCCGCTTCCAGTGACGGTGCCACGGACCGTTTCTCGTTTAAGCTCCCCGTTGTGCCGCCGCTCGGACAGCAGGGCGCCAGAGTTGACTTTTGCCTGAGATACGAGACGCCGTCGGGCACCTTCTGGGCAAACAACAACGGCCGCAACTACGTGCTGTTCTGTCACCGGAGAGCGAGAGACAGGAACGAAACGAAAAGTTGTCTGAAGACCGTCGGGTGAGGATGTAAACTTTCACTAATCCGTATTTAGAAGCTTTGTTAGATACGTTTGATGTATTACAATGTACATCAAGCATTCCAATAGTGGTTGGATGAAACTGTTACCGAATGTAGCTCGAGGTTCAGGGGATGAGCAGCTGTTTGTGGCAGGAGAACACACAAGGGTCTTTAAAAATCCAATATGTACTGGTAGGTTTTTTTCCAAAAGGATTCCAGGGTGTCAACGTGGCTCCCGTGGGGGGTTTGGTAATTACCGACGGCCCCATAAAAGTCTGACGTATCACAATTCATTGATTCACAGTCGGAGCTTTTCCACTGGAGGAGATACTGCTGAAATGGAAGCATCCTCAACGGGTGAATATTCACTCTGCTGATTGTGAAATTAAGAAAGTAATTGTGGAACTTAGAAAGAGGGTTTTGAAATCTCTCTTTTCTCCAGATGTGCCAGATGATGGAGCGAACGTTGACTCTCTGAAGGCCGAGAAAACCTCTGATGGGCCGTCAGCGTTTTCAGAGGAGGATCGACAGAAATTACTGGCGAGTACAAATAAAAACACAAATATTTCCCTTTTTCTTGTGAGTATCAGTAGTTTACTGAAACATTTTATGAGTTGTCTTGCGACTTCCTCGCCCAGATATAAATATCACAGCTAGCAAAGCTAGCCTAAAGACAACACGATATGTCTCTGAGGTACAGAAGGAACAGCAAACTTTGGGAGAGAATATCAGATGACTCAGTGACACCAGCGTGACATAACGTTCAGCTAAAGGACACACAGTGCGTCCTGTTTGCGCTCGATTACGTCGCGCAGGCTATTTTAACACCGTCTCAACCATGATTCAGTTTGTATTATGGATAATATTTTATCCCAGCACGTTTCTGTCTGACTCTTCTTAAAACAGCAGCTACAGTGTGAGCAAACTGAGACGCATCCCTGTTGTTGATTGACAGACCTGCAGCCAAAGAAGAAGCAGAAAGGCTGCACGGATGGCGCGGGTGAGGGACTACTTTTCTCAGAGACGTGTAGGATCGGATGACACTGAAAGAGACGAGGAAAACCAAAAGGCAGCTCAAGAAGAAACCCCAGAGCAGGAGACGCTTCCTGAGGGGAGCGACAAACTCATCGTTCTCCGTGACAAGTCACCGGCGTGCGACACTGAGAAATGTCCGAGCATCCGTTTGGCTGAGAAGCCTGCGGCTGCAGAATGCCAAGATATCGACGAGTCGGTCTCAACAGCCGAGGAAAAGAGTCAGAAAGCTCCACCAGAAGAGAGGAGAGAAAGCGCAGACAGGCAGACCAACAGCTTCTCATTTGGAACCGTGGTGGCTCCGTTGTATCATCAGATGTTTGGCCGAGTAGGTAATAAAAATCCAGTTCAGTCCACGTTGCACCCTGAAGACTCGAGTCCCCGTCACACTGAGAGAGGACAGGTCCATACAGGTGCAAAAGGTCCCCAGGGACAAGACACTCAGAGTCAACATTCAAACCCAGAATGTTTAGTTCCAAATCGTCCGCCACTGGAACAAGAAGAACGGAGTTTAAGCGTGACGGCAAACAACATCACGGACCACAAAGAAACTGTGCGGCATCCAGATCACGTTTTCCACTACGACCAGATACAGACAAACACATCTGAGGTACATTCTCACGCCGCGAAGGTTGTAGCTCTAGATTCCTGGAGTCCACGAAAGCCTGCTGAGACACGTGAAACACGAGAAGCCACGTCAGCATTTATGGCACCTCAACCTTCTGAGAGCGTGTCAGAGCGCGTTGGCGGCGAGACGCAGCGGCAGGCCAGCGGAGCAGACCACAGCGACGCCAACGCAGAGGATGACGCCTGCGAGACAGAAGCTGCACCACCAACCGCTGCCCGCTCACAGGAGGGTGAAGCCATTAAAGCTTCACATGGTTTCAGCCCTAAACACACGCATAATTCAGATACTGAAGAGACGCAGATGAGCTGCGGTTCTTCTTTAATTGGTAACAATCACGTGTTTGTGGAGCTCACAAGTGAGGACGCTCAAAGCGCAGAGCATCATGGAATGGACTCGAAACAGGAGGAACTGGCTGGCGTGAACTGGGAAGCTATGGTTGAAGAAGAGGAGAAAAACATATTAACAGATGAAGAGGCAGTGGCGAACGACCACGGACAGTTAGAGGATGCAGGGAGAACAACAGCAATTGAAAAAAAAGATACCGCAGAGACGGTAGAAGAGGAAATCATTTTTGAGGAAATTAAAGCTGCGAGACAGAAATATAACGAGGCCGAGGAAGCAGATGTTTCAGAGACGAATGGCGAACAAAGTGGGGAAGCGAAGGCACGAAAAGGTGCGGGAGAAGTTGCAAAAGAATTCCAATATAGCAAAGCCCCTAATGAAGCTGGAGAAGAAGATCTAACTGAGGAGATTAAAGAGGAGAGAAGAGAGAAACAAGAGTTTGATATTGAAAGGAAAAATGTCCGAAACAAAGAGGAGGAAGGGATGGAAGTACATCTGAGCGATGATGACCAGGCAGGTTTGGGGTGGGAGGATCAGGTAAAATCAAGAGAGGTACACCTAGAAGAAGATAATCCACATCACAGCGGGGAGAGGTTTGTTGTTGAAACAGAAGAGTCAGAGATGATCGATGCAGAGTCAAAGGGCGGGACGATGGAGGACGGGCAGAATGAAGAGCACTGCTCTGAAGCCTCCTCAGACGTCACACAAAACAAGGTCGGCGATGCTTTATCTGCTTTGGTGAACAATGTCCAGGACTCGGCAGGAATTGACACCCAACACATCTCAAGTGAAACGCATCTCTGCAAAGAGGACGATTATTACTTTTTCACAAAAGCAACACTACAAAGAGCCGTGGGGGCGGAGAAGGAATCCGCCGCTTGGTTCCTTTCTACAGGTGAACCTGAAAACGATCCAACAAGCCGCGAGAGCGCCTCAGCAGAGTCCGACTCAGACGACGAGGTGGAGTTGTACATGCACTGCCTCAGGGCCGTGCACAGCGGGGCCCAGGCGGACAGGAACAAGGACGCGGGTTTCGGTGAGGGCAAGTCACGGCCCCCTGTGAGCAGAGGCAAACTTCCGCCAATGCCGTCCATCAGTGAGTGTCAGGATGAAGAACAACACCCCGGCTGCCTCCGTGAGGACGAGGAGACAGCACACGTCCGTCCCACAGCTGCAGCTCCGCCGACGTCAAGACGACAGGAGGACACCGACACGAAGGTTTCACGGCGGAAAGAGGCTTTTTCCTGCAGCGAGATCTCAAAAATCTTGTTATTGGTCACCTTGTTGGTGGTATTTTTTGTCGTGGCCTACCGTTATGATTTCCTTGCTTGTTTGGGGCTCTACTTGGTATCCGTGGTTTGGCTCTACTGTCAAGAAGAGAGGCAACAACAAAAACAACAGAATAGGTTGGATTAAACTGTACCATCATTTTATACTATGTCCTTCATCTGGAGATAAAAACGTAACAGGATGAGAAGAAAAGACAATTGGCATTAGTTCAAGCTAAATATGACACCTATCAGAATAAATGCTGTATATTCCCTGCGGGAGGTTGCTGACTCTCTGTTGTCAAGAGTATGAACCATTTCACTTTATTCTTTGCTGTCGTCTCAGACAACAGGCTGCTCACACTGACATTAATAATTAACATGAATATGAAATAAACACATTCTCCAAGATCAATAATTCAATGAGGACAATAGTTTTTATTAGTGTTCCCAGCACTAGTATTCAGAGCGTCACAGTATCCTAGTTTGCCGTGTTGGCATTAAAGAGTACAGCTGAAGATGATGAGAAGGTCATTAACAAATTGACCATGAACACATGATATGAATACGAAAAGCTTTCATGGGTTGAAAGGTTATCAGTGTTCATCCTAAGAGGAACATGATGGTGTGTTTCAAACTTCGCAGGAATCCATCCAACATTATACTAGAAACCACAAATTTGAACCACACGTTTGTTCTTAGTCCAAAAGTCATGCGTTCACCAAGGTCTTCGGGTCCGTCTTTAAGGGACGGTGAATGTCTGAATAAAATGTCACTGTAATATATCCTGTGTACTTTGAGATATTTTTGTCTGCTCTGCGTTAACTAATTATACTAATTTATATCTTCAAATAGCTCACAAATTCACAGCAATTGGGGTAAACAACATTCAACAAATCAATCAATCAAACAACAAATCAGCTAAACTTCAGGGGTATCAACCTGTATTTTCACCAACAAATATACAAATAGATGAAGGAAAAGTGTAGCAGTCAATGTTTCTTTCCTTATTATCATGACGTCATTTTCTTTCTCTGGGAGAGTTGGCAAAGAAAGGACAAAACCCTGAGCACGAGTACGAAGGAAGATTGTAATAAATCAGGTCCCTTGTAGCGACTCCTGCTCCCTGTTTTAGCTCTGGCTTAGTTTTGAACTGAGCACAGCTGCAGTGTTGAACATGCAAGCGGATTCCACAGCTGGAGGAAACGTTTTTAGCACCAAAAAGAAACAGTTTTGAAAAGTGAGACGCACTGGCTGGTAAATGTACATTCCTCCGAATTCTAGTTACAGTATAGCATTCAAGGGAAAGCTTTCTGTGCACTTATCCTTTCACAATGAACTGATATTTGAGAGTTGATAACATCATATATATCTTTGATTTTTTCTCTGGACTGAAGTGATAGTTGTTGCCCTTGCAGCAAACCCAGTGTCATCAGAGCATGTTGGTTAAAGCCGACAGCTTTAACCTGTCTGATTCAAATTCCTTGTATGTCTAACATACTTTGGCAATAAATGTTCCTGATTCGTTATATATATTATATAACATTTCAACCAGTATTTTTATTGTAAGACAAAGAAATAAGCTGTTTAACATTCATTTTGTTCAATATATTATGAGATTATATTGAACAGAAACAACCATGTATTATGGCAATCGCTTGGTTAGTTTTAGAATTTACGAGTAACACTTAAACGCTCCACGGGATGCACGCGGTCACAGGCATCGATATATATATAAAGGCTAGACGTCCGCACGCGGCGGCCATCTTCCTACACTGAGCTTGATAATCCGTAACATTGTGTTGGTAGTGGTACATGTACATTAAATAATAATAATTTGCTCAATTTTAAACGGTTTGGTTTGTTATAAAGATATGTAGTTATGTTTATAACAAACCAAACCGTTTTAAGTTATGGTTATTTAAAAAGTACATGTATAACAATCAACACAATGTTCTAGGTGTAGCAAGACGGCTGCCATGTGCGGACGAGACATCTAGCCTTTATATATATATCTATGGTCACAGGTAGCTTTCCGGGTCTGTGATTGGTCGATGGACTGTCAGTTCTCAAGCACGCCTGTCAAACACAACCAATCCGCTTGCGTGTTGTTGGCCCGTCCACCGGTTTGCCGGGTCGGCTTTGCACAGGTTTTTCAGCTGGGGGAAAAAATAGGGGAAGCAACTGGCGAGAGGGCAACGTCGTCCGCGCGCGCTGCTATGGACCTCCGGGACAATGTCGAGACGGGCGAGACGGAAAACCACACGGAGCTCTTCTACGTGCCGATTCCAGACGATGTGGCGTGCAAAGGGGAGCAGGAGAAGCTGTCGGGGGTCGTTAAGAACGTCCACAGAAAACTGCGCAGGAAATACAGAGAGGGTGAGCAGCCTCCGTGGGCCTCTCTCTCTCTCTCTCTCTCTCTCTCTCTCTCTCTCCCTCTCTCCCTCCCCCTCTCTCCCCCCCGGCCGAACGTTAGCGCAAAATACTTTCCGTTAACTGTAATTCCGGCTGAGAGAAGTCGCCGGTCTCGCCGGTAAGCTCCGTTAGCGGTTATGGAGGAAGGACCCCGGGCTGCAAAGCGAGGCCTTTAACCGAGGCGGTTTATTGGGTTAACTCAAGTTACTACTCGTGAAACCAGTTGGTTACCAGTGAGATCTGCTATTTGCTGGGACATTAAATTCTAGATCTGTGGACTGAACAACATTTGTGATAAATGTTTAGCCGAATGAGCTTTAATTCTGAGTATTGGCGGGTTTTTTTTACTTGAAAACGCAAAAGTTGAAGGTAAATCAAAGATTGCTTATATAATCCAGTGTTTACGTTTTATTTTTACAGACATATTTGTCATTTCTCACTTCTGCTTTTGTGTTTTGGGGAAGTACAAGAAAGGCAAATGTTTCTGTAAAAATGTCTCATTCAAATGTTCCTCCAAGGGGGGGTCACCTCATCTTTCTTCGCTCAGAGCAAGCCCACAACAACCGAATGTTTTTACACCGGATACAACATGCAAACCAAATTGCAGCTTCGTTCCTTCCTTTGCTTGTGATCCGGTGACTTTTTCTGTAACGGTTTTGGATTTCCTCAAGTTCCACTTCAGCCGCCAGCTGGGAGCTGAAGCTGTTTGCAGGCTGAAGTGTCCTCGATGTAAAACCAAGAGACACTTGGAACGATGCCGACCACACTGGGGGGTTTGTGCTGCTGTTGACTCTCACTCAAAATGCATGTCCAATGGAGACACACACACACACACCAAAAGACTAGTCAGGCTGGTTTGTGTCATTTAACTGCCTCTGAATTGAAAATTTGCATCAGATTTTTTTAATCCTCAAATCATCCTGCAAGCAGTGAAAAGGGAACTCTTGTACCAGTTTAAAACAATCCATTGTGCACAAACTATTTTCAGTAATAATTGTTTGTGCTGTGACAAATGTTGCCACATTCTCTACCTTCAGTTACATAAATAAATGCATAAAGAGGTCACATTTCGCCGTGATTTATTTTAGATTTGTCCTACTTTTCACTTGAGAAACTACACAACCACAATTAATGGTTCTTAAAGGATGTTTGACAAATGAATGACAGTAGTTGTTTACTCCAACAAGTCCTCCCGCTAGCAGACCTCATGAGTGCTTAATAAGTAAAGCGTGATCTGGTAAGCTCGGCATAGAATCCCGGCGGTCAGCTCGGCTGTTTACCGACGCTCCGCTTGTTGTCCTTTTCATTTCTGTAAATCGGAATCAGTTTTTTTTCCTGTGGTCACGGGATTGCTCCCTTATCAGCGAGTTTGCCTTTGCTCCAGGCTGTAAACCGTGAAGATATGCTGAAGGGAAACTGGACTTTATTCTAACTGGATTTTTGGAGGCGCAATTCCACTTGTGATGTGGCAGACGAGTGAGTTTGCAGGCGATGTATCAGCAGTTAATGTGGCTCAGGCTTTTTCTCAGCATGTTTTGGTGCTAAAGGGGAAGTAAAGTGTGAATGTTTTCTGTCACTTTCTGCGGATGGACGTGTCAGACTAACCGGAGATAAAAACAGGCCTGAGATCGCTTTTAAAGTCTCATTTGACTCTTAAAGATCAATTTGCCGTCTTTTCAACCTTTTTTTTCCCACAGTGGGTGATTTTGAGAAGATCTGGCGTGAGCACTGTAGCGATGAGCAGACGTTGAGCGAGTACGCCCTCGCCATGAAGAATCTGGCCGACAACCACTGGACCAAGAAGTGCGAAGGAGAGGGACGCATCGAATGGTGTCGCAGGTAACGGCTCACTGCAGTTCTTCCAACATGTCGCTGTCACTTTGGCAGTGATGTTTGAGCAGTGTTTTTTAATTCTACCTTCACAGTGTCTGTCAAGAATATTTTTTGCATGGCGGGATGAAAAGGATGGTAGAAAAGGATGAGAAAAGTGCCGCGCTTACCGTGGGTCTGACCGCAGATTCTGTGTGTGCCCCACCGCACGGCACCATCCCCAGGTAAACCGAGCCGCCAAAGGCCCCCATTACCCAGGACCGGAGCTGCCGTACCTCCATTAGTCCTTTATAGATCAGAAAATAATGTTTGCTTTTCTCTCGTTTCTTATAGAAAGCATTCTCATATGTGTGAACCTCTCCCTCTATCAGGGATTTAACATACATATATATATATATATATTCCTTTAATATTAACACAACATAATATTATTGGGCCTTTACATGTGTGTTTTTTTAGTTTGTTTGAAGAAATATATATAATATACGTGTGTGTGTGTGTGTGTGTGTGTGTGTGTGTGTGTGTGTGTGTGTGTGTGTGTGTGTGTGTGTGTGTGTGTGTGTGTGTGTGTGTGTGTGTGTGTGTGTTACAGGGCAAAGAGACACTGTTGGATGACATAAGTTACGTTGGTTTGACCCTGACACTTTTCCCACTTTTGTGTTGTAGTTCCATTTGTAATCTGGGGAAAATGCGCCTTCTTGATGTGGGAAGCTGCTTCAACCCTTTCTTGAAGTTTGATGAATTCCTCACAGTTGGGATCGACATAGTGCCAGCAGTGGAGGTACGGATGCTTACTTTGTTTTTCTTATGAATACGCTCTTAAAACGCATGGGGTTCCTGTCTGGAGCAACAGCAAGGCAGCCGAGGACTCACAAGGTCACCTTTTGCCTGTTTTCTACTCTGCAGAGTGTGTACAAGTGTGACTTCCTCAACCTTCAGCTCCAGCAGCCTCTCCAGCTGGCGAGCGACGCGGTCGAGGCTTTCCTCCGCCAGCTCCACAACCCCATCGATACGCTGCCTGCCCAGCTGTTCCACGTGGTGGTCTTCTCCCTGCTCCTGTCCTACTTCCCCTCACCCTACCAGCGATGGATCTGCTGCAAGAAGGCCCACGAGCTGCTGGAGCTGCACGGCCTGCTGCTCATCATCACGCCTGACTCCTCCCACCAGAACCGCCACGCCCTCATGATGCGTAGTTGGCGCGTTGCGGTGGAGTCTCTGGGCTTCAAGCGGTACAAATACGTCAAGTACTCCCACATGCATCTCATCGCCTTTCGGAAGGTGTCCCTGGCCACCACCAGCGACCTGGTGTCCCGCAACTACCCGGAGATGCTCTACATCCCTCAGGACTTCCACTCCAATGAGGAGGAGGAGGAGGAGTCCGCCGACGTGCCTGTGCAGGTGCGCTCCGAGTTCGAGGACGACCAGATGGCGTGGGGCTTCACGGAGCTTCCCGACGCGCCCTACGATTCCGATTCCGGGGAGAGTCAGAGCAGCTCGGTGCCTGGCTTCCACGAGCTAGAAGACCCCATCCTGCTTCACAGCTAGACTAAGCCCCTCCCCTTCTCCTTTCACCGTACGGAGCTGTCACCTCCCCGCCAACTGCTGCGCTGCCAAATTTAAACCTGCTGCACCCCCCCTCCCTTAAAACAATGCAGTTTGCACAGTGCGAAAGTTTACAGATTATTGACTCGTATCCACACTCCTCTGGGAGTACACACACACACACACACACACACACACACACACACACACACACACACACACACACACACACACCGAGATGGATATATTTTGATAAATATCTAGGTTTTTAAAAGAGCTGGAAAGCGAATGCCCCTAAGATTCCTTTTTCCTTGATGTCCACGCAACCTTCCAATCAGCTTTTAATGACAAAAGTCAGCTTGTCTGCACTCGTCTCTATTTCAATGAGCTGGAGTGACAGGCGGGTCAGTACAACCGACGAAAGCAGTGTGTTGCACTGCAGAGACGGGACTGGTACGCTTGCCTCTGCTGACGTCGGACCTTCTGAACATTCTCGATGTGCGTTTAGTTTTCCGATACAAACCCTCCCCAAAAAACGAGTTAATTGTTTTAAAATCTATATTCTCAACAAAAGTCAAACCCTTGGTGTTGTCCGGTGTCGAGGGGGGCGATGCCATTTTAACTTGCCATCTGGATATTGTGTATATTTTACAGGAAAGTGGTATTTGTAGCATTTCAAACATTTTCTGAAGCATATGGTAGGAGTATTACTAGGTTTACTACTGTGAAACTGTTTACTCATTGCATAACAAGGTAAGTGTGATTTGTTTGTTTTTTCTGCCTCTCGTTGTCCTCACTAATATTACGAGTTATCCGCTGTTCGCTTTCCAATAGATTTCTTGATCTCTAGCAGAGACGTAGTACAACACTGCAAGTCGGTGAGTCATATCAGATGGACTTTATCCATCAGTATCCTTTGACACAATTTTGTAACTTCGATGGGTAATTACAGGAAGTGCTCTGCCTACAAAAAGATCCGGATACGAGCTCCTCGGTACGAGATTTGCACTAATTTGGGGGGGTTTTCACACAGAACCTCAGGGACAGGCGAGGAACTGTAGATTTTAGCAATAGCAGGCGAGAGCAGATGTGAAGACGGGGGCTTTGAGCTGAAGACACTACCAGACGACATGTTCGAGGTGCGTGCTTGGATTTGTCAGTGTGAATGAAAAGATGAATTTACGTCAATGTGTTATTGTCAGTGGCACTTTATCATTGATCCCAGAGGGTGTCACAAAATGTAATTATTTTCCTATGATGACAGTTTTTCGAAACAATATGATGGGGTCTAAGGTGCCTTCTTCGCTCCAATCTGCTGTATGTTGGGAGTGACTTTTGATGCCTGTGGAGAAAGTGGAACGCATACCTTTTTTTTCCCGAAAGATATCAAGCTTCTCTGGACAAATATTAAATAATAATTGTCCAGTTCTCCTTTGTCATCTTAATAGATACCCAGAAATATTTACATTGTGGTCCGATCTCATTTTCCTGTTCATGCACGTTTTCTGCTCACATCTCCTCTGCGTTAATAGAAGAAGAAAAAACAATCTCAGTGCTTTAAGTCTTCCAATGTTTCTTTAGGTGCATTTGCATGAATTGTTCTCATCTTCATTATCAACATCCAACAATACAGAACAATGTGTGCTTGGTTGTATTTCTCTTTTATAAATGAATGTACATGTAAGCTTTGTGGGGTTTTTCCTGAGTTGTGTGAGTGTTCTGTACCTTTTTTTATTTTTAGACACTTCAAATACTGCTTATGGAGTTTGAGAGGATCACCCCTTACATTTGGTAAGGGGTGAGATTGCTGTTATACTACTGACTGGAGTAGTAGACCTTCACCGTACGGCTATTTTTACACTGAATCACGATCGATGTATTTTCTTCTAAATATTTAAATGATGACTTCTGAATGAAGGATTGTCTATTTATCCATATTCCTGCCCTGTTTCCCACTTACACTATATTTTACCGCTTGGACATGGATAAACTCCAGAGCTACAGCAGGTCATAGGTCACCTTCAGACTGTTACTCACTCAGATGGGGAACTTAAGCCCTAAATAAACACATGAGTAAATCTTAAGGTTGAAAATATTTCTAATAACCGGTTTGTGTTCACACTGGCGAAGCTGTTTTGACCCTTCGGACTCGCCGTAGCGGGCGAAAGCAGACGTCGTCATGGCGCCTGTCAAACCGAAACTTTAGATGCGACAAACTTTCTCGCGAAATGTATTTCACTGTACCGACAGAGTTCCAGACGCGCTGAATCCGCATCGGACGAAATGAATACAACGTAAATAATCAACATGGAACTATTTCTGCGCGCTGACTTTCACCCGTAGAAAAAAGAAGTGTAGCCAAGCTAACGTTAGCTACACTTTCAACAAGTAGTTAGCTATTAACGTTATAGTTATTTAACTAGCTCGGCCTCGGCGGATTCCAAATATGAAATCGACTATAGCTCTTTAACTAACGTGTCTCCGTTTCCCCCCCGACGAAGATGTGTCGTTTTCTACGCTACTGTGTCAGTCACTGCCTTCGCGCGACGCTGACGCGGGTCACGGAGCTCCACAGAGCGATGGGCATGCGCTCGTCCGCCCGGTGGCTCGGCTACCTGTCCCGGCTCGTCCTGCTGGTCGCGCTGTGTTTGGGGCTCTACGCCCGGTGGGAGAGGACCGCGCAGACCGCTCCCCTGGTCGTCCTCGTTTTGACTCTGCTCTTCCTCGGCGCGGCGGGCGTAACGCACTTTTACTTCAGCGCGGAGCGGCTCAGCCTCCGTCTCCTCCACCTGCTGTTCGGTCTCCTGCTGGGGCTCCAGTGCTTACTCGACGGCGCGGCTCCGGAGAGCGACGCGACGGCGCAGGCGGCCAACCACCTGCTGGTGGCCAGCGCGGCAGTGGGGGCTCTGTGCGCGCTGCTGGAGCGACTGTTCGGCCGCGCCACGTACCGCCCCGCCTTCCTCACCTCGGCGGAGGGCCTGGAGCTGCTCGGCTTCGCCGGCGCGGCGTGGCTCGCCGTGGAGTCGCCGAGCGTGCCGGTGCTGGTGGCGGCGCTGGCCGCGCTGCTGGTGGCCCTCCGGATGAAGGTCCTCCTGGCTCTTCCCATCCTGGTCTGCTTCGTTGTCGTCGCCGCCGTGTGGATCTTCGAGCCTCCGAACATCTCCGGCAACCCTTTGGCCCTCGCCTGCTTCTTCATCCGGCTAGTGTGCGACCCGCTGCTGGATCTCTACTTCAGCGGACTCTCCGTGACCGAGCGGTGGCAGCCGCTCCTGGCGCGGGACGGCCCGTGGCGGAAGCTGTCGCTGCTCCCTCACGTGATGCTGGAGGTGACCTTCGTCATCGTGGCCGCTCAGAGGCTGAGCGACCTGGACCGGTGGTACCTGCGGATCCCGGGCTTTGTGTTCTGCGTTTTCTGGTGGGCCGTGAGCCAAGTGGTGTTCGTCCACACGGTGTGGAGCTTTCACACCAAGCTCAGTGAATGCCAGACGCTGTGCTTGTCCCAGGGGTCAGGGGTCAGCGGCCTGAACAAGGTTATGGCCTCAAAGGGCATGAGACTTTTCTGCCTCTTCGCCGAACGCCCGGTAACGGTCTTGATGATCTCAACTATTGCTGTGGCAGCAGTTTGTTGGCAGGTATGGGAAAGCTGGGAAGCGCGTAATCATGTCTTAAGATTTTCCACAATCCACAAAAAAATAAGTAATGGTGTAAAATGTTGCCACTTCCTCCTCGGCACCTCTTTGATGATGATGCGTGCTCTGCAGGCCTCCAGCAGCCTCTTCCTGAGCATCCTGCTGCTCGTCCTGCCTCTGCAGTCTCTGTTTCAGGGGCTTTTCCACGAGCTGGGGGACAGCCTGGGAGGAACCTGCGTGGGCTACGCGGTGGTCATCCCCACCTTCTTCTGCAGGTAGTGTTCAAACTGGGCCGCGTGTATGAGGATCCCCAGCTGGAGACGGTTAATCGTATTATTCTTGATGTTTGTTGGGTCCCACGAGGACCATGGTTAATATGATCCATGGTTAATATGATCCATGGTTAATATGATCCATGGTTAATATGACCCATGGTTAATATGACCCATGGTTAATATGACCCATGGTTAATATGTTGTGAGCAGGGAAATATGTGAACGTCAATAATTGAACCCAAAGAGTTGTAAATAATTGGGAAATCCGTTTAAGCTGCGTGTCCAGAATCAGAAGCCACTTATTGTCACGTATGTTACACATACTGGAATTTGACATGATGGGTGGTACAATAAAAGGAGACAATATAATTAAAAGACTAAAATGAGAAAAAGTGTGCAATTAACAATATAAACAGCTAACGCGTGTTAGGAGACGTTTTAGCCCAAATCCAGTATTTAAACCAAATGTATTAAAAGGCTAAGAAATTCATGTCCATTTAACCAAATGAATAATAATAATAATTTGAGATATTCAGCTTTTGGGACGGCGTCCTAGTACAGCTTGCAATAGAGGACGTCCAGTAGCTGGACTGACCCTCGTGTGCTTTCATCTCGCCCCCCAGTCTGGAGGGCCAGCCCACGCTGCTGCCCCCGGGCCAGGTGCAGGAGCTGAGCGAGCGCTCCATGGGCATGCTGAACAGCGTCCAGCGCTTCTTCGCCCACCACTTCATCGAGTCCTTCGGCTGCGACTACTCCACCACCGGAGTGACCCGGGAGGCCCTGCGGGCCAAGATCCAGTCCTTCTTTGAGCTGCGCACGGCGGACGGACCTCGCCACGACACCTACGTCATCTTCTACAGCGGCCACAGCCACCACTCCGGGGAGTGGGCCCTGGCAGGTGAGGGGGGATTAGTATCTTTTAAATGGTCATTTCAAAGTTAATGACGCTGGATTGGGGGAGATATATTTTTGATATTCCATACTAAGCCTTTTTCGTTTTTGTGGCACATCTTTACTATGGCAGTTTTCTTTTTTTGTCACCTCACAATTGGATATTATTGTATATTTTATTCTATTTTGAACCCGCGTGTTCATCGGCAGGAGGAGACACCCTCAGCCTGGATCAGATCCTGGAGTGGTGGAAACAGACCAATGGCTGCTTCCGCTCCCGCCTCATCTTTGTGCTCGACTGTAACCACTCCTCGCCGTGGGTGGATGAGGTGAAGAAGGCGGAGGGTCTGTATGTGGCGGTGCAGGCGGCCACGCTCTCTCTGGTGACGGACGTCGAGCAGCAGGAGCCCCCGCAGCTCGGAGACTTCACCTCTCAGTGGGTGGAGTACAACTGCAACTCTAGCAGCCACATCCAGTGGTCGGAGAGGGCCCGGTCCGTCTCGGCCACCTACGGCGTCTCCAGGTACTGGAGCGACTACACGCTGCCCCTGCCGACAGGAAGCTACCTCAGCAACTACTGGAGGATGCACTTCCCCCGGATGATCGGGCCTCTAGTCCCGGTTAGCGAGGGCCGGTTCGACGGTTTCAGCGGGCGGGGGCTCTGCAGCGTCCCCCTGCGATATCTCAAGAGACTCAAACTAACCTGGTTTCCACCAGCGGTCCTGGACACTGGGCAAGGCTTCAAACTAGTGCGCTCGTAGAAATGATCACTATATGATGACTTTTTCTGGGAAAAGCTTCTGGTTTGTTAACGTATTTCAGCACCAGATTTTGTATTTTCTCAATGTTTCTATTAATGTGTGTTAATAAGCATCAATGTTAATTGTTGCATCATTTACTGTTACAAATGTTCTTGTGCCTTTAATGTAAAATCACCAAAGTACCTTCAGCTGGTCAGGCTGTATATATATTTTTAGTTTGTTTTACCTTTAACAAAAGTGACATTGGTACAGTTTCAGAGGAAGAGCTCAGGCATAAATCCTAAACAAATATTCTTTTTTACAGGCATGTTATAGCATTTGTATTTTGGCCCTGAAATGATTCCTCTTCCAGCCAGCAGCACTACGCGTGTCCCACTCCAAGCTTTCAGTATATTCAGTGCACCTTGTCTTCTAACAGCATCCTGGGATGCTTTTAGTTCTTGCAATGATCTCCAGCTGCTTCAGGGAGTCCAGAGAGTTTAAACTGCTGACGATTGCACTATACACAAGTATGTGTGACTCATAGTATTTATGTCATAATGAAATGCATCACATGAAGAGCCATTTTGTTCCTGGTGTTGATCAGTTTACGGCGTTATGCAGGATTCTTCTGGTGAAAGGATTGAAACTATGCAATAAAGGAGACGTGAATTAAATGGGCCCCTCGTGGTTATATTCTTAAATAAAAATCGGTTATTTCATGTTTGGGGACTACGACAACAAATTGATTTAACAAAGCAATAAAGGTACAAGAGGCAGTACTTTATTGTCCAATAATGTAACTGTTCGGGGTGTTAGGCAGGATAAAGTACTGCCTCAAGTACCTTAAACTAGTTGTAGCCACCAAAGGTTGTGTATCTCGTCGTAGTAGACAAATAGTCCCCGTACGTGCACGTAAACAGCATCTCATTCATCCACATCGCTCATGACGCCACCTGAATTGTCGGCTTGTGAAAGCTCTCGTTGCCCCAAACTGATCATTTGTGGTGTTTGATCGTTTTCGGCGATCGTCACCGAGCTAAAAGCTGAAACATCAACTAACAATCCAAGTGTTACTGAACGCTCGGGTCAATGTGAACAGCAACTACTTTATCGCTGAATAACGCACCCCCTCTGGCTCACTCACAACCAATCAGAACGCTGAATACAAAATTCAGTTTATCAACTTAACGCACCCCCCTTCTGAGGAATACTTAAGTGGAAATTGTGGTTCCAGCGTTTTATGACCATCTTCTTTTGCCTAAGAAGTCTGCTTCATTAGAACATTTGTTCGCATGGTTACAGAAAATATACATTGATACACACATATGCAAACATTTTTGGGGGGTTTTGGATGCATTTGACTTGAGCACCTTACGACTTTGCAGTCACACAAAACTCAAGCACAGTAGATTCAGGTTTTCAGCTCATTTTATTGAAAACATTATAAAATGATGGTGCAGCAGCATATTTCAGTTTTCAAGATCTTTATGAAGTTCACATTGATGACCGTTGTCAAGGAGACAAGAACAGAACAGCTATCACTTCCATGTAGTTGCAGGTGAAGATACACTGAACCCTAAAACACACTAAAGGAAAAGGTCCCTTTTCTTACGACTGGTTCATTAACGAGGTACATTTATGAATGTCAGCTTTCAGAGCTGAAATTCCTGTCTTGGGTTGTTCTAGGCGGGGACACGGGGACACGGGGACAGCCTTCATCCAAGAGAGGAGATAACTTCCTGAACATCTACCAAGTACACGTGCAAACTGAGTACGCACTGCACAGCCTAACAAGTACACACGGACTTGTCAGCCTGGCTCACATGTACATTTGCATTAAAAAAAATGGGATGAAGCTGCAACTGTTAGTCGGGTCGAGATTCGCAGAAATGGCAAACTTTGGTTCGGTGTTTACGGCAAAAACTGACAATGAACTAATAATAATAATAATAATAATAATAATAATGAAATAATGAACACAACCTCTCGTTGGAACACGAGATTCTGCCGGGTTAAATTCACACACTAATCGATACATTTTGTCTGCCTAGTTCACAACGGGGAGACTTGCAGCTAGATTCACTGATGTCGTCGGCTGAGCCTCTGGGACACAGACATTTACAGCCACTAGACGTCAACAGGACAAAGACTAAAGACAGCTTCCTCTGGGTTTAGGGGACAGAGAACAGCCAATCGGAATGGAACAAGCGGTCCAGAACAACCAGACCTTTTTTTTTTAGCATTCCGCAAAGCTTAAAACATCTTAAACTGCATCTATGGATTATTTATTATTACCGTTACATTAAACACGTCTAGATTATAAAAAGTCCCAAAAGAAATAGACATTGACTTCACGATTTAAAAGTTGTCACATCAAAGCTGGTCGATGCGGCTCGACATTTAACAGCTTTGTAAGCAAAGACCACCGAGATGATTCAATGTATCGAGGATTTTAAACACAAATAAATGAAGTTTTCTAATCATTCATTTTTTAGAGGGAAAATAAAAGATGTGCTTTTCCGTCATGAGCCGCTGGCCTCGATTAGAGGTTAGACTTGTGTGGCTTTAGCTGGATCTTAGCTTTGGAGCTGGACCCCCCCCACCCCCTTCTGATGACACGCCTGTTTTTAAAATAAAATTCAAGAATGAAATAATAGAAAGAAAAAAGCATCTGGCATTAAGAATATTAAATTCACTGTCTGGTGTGATTCGGCTCGCCACGATCATTTGTTCTATAAGTGTGATTGTCACAAACATGCTCATTAGCATTTCACAAAAAGGAAATGAGAGTACAAGTTAGTGTTTCTAATCGATTTACCCAGAATAAATCACAATACAATAGGAAAACATTGAAAACGACCCCGTGGGTCGAGTATGATCAGCAGGTAAGTAACTAGAATAAGGTACATCTGCACTGGAAGTCGTTGTGGAGGAGAGGACGGCTTTGGACAGTCAGACTGAGCGAGGGTCAAACCCACAGAACACAGACCATTTACACGCCTGTGACGCAACTAAGAAAAGAATTCATCGTCAGTCAAAAGTGGATTTGCTTCCCTGCGACCCTTCCAGCTACTTTCCATCTCTTTGCACGCGACACTTTGTCAACCCGACGTCCACAAACGGACTGTTTGAAACGCATGTGTGATTCCTCGAATGAGAATGAGGTAAATCCCTGTAGTCTGTTGAATGACCACATCACGTAGGCAAAAAAAAAGTCACCACAGCACACACGTGTCCATGGGTTTGGCTTTACGTCGGCCTTTTTGTCACCAATGTCCTTCAGTCGTCTCTTTTTGTCCCCTCCCTCCCTCCCTCCCTCTCACCCCTCAGGACTTCCTCATCCGCACCGTCTCCGAGCTGCCGTTCAGTTTGCTCCGCCCGGATGGAGTGGACGTGCTGCCGTTGCCCAGAGGACGGTCCCGGTCCGCGGGGACTTCCTGGTTGCGTTGGCGGGTCTCTTTGTAACGGAGCGTGATGTCACTGTGAGAAGATTATAGGAAAGATTCTTAATCGAAAATCAGCTTTTGTGACCAGATTCTGTTCGTCCTCATTGAAGTCAAAAGGATCTGAAGGACGTTGTCTTTTCATTTGTTGAAGTAACTCAGATATGTATCCAGGGGGGAGTAATTATACCACAGCGTGCCCTGGTTGTCATGCCAACAGGCACGTAGTGCGTGTGTGAGCTCCTGCAACACAAGCAGACGGTCCTCTGCACCACGCACACGTTAATGACTGCAACCAAGACTAAAACTGATAAAGACGACAAAATTCACTACAGCGGAAAAACAAAGAGGTGCCATGCGGGAGGAAGGAGCCGTGTGGAGTGACACGCGTGTCGTCTGGAGGGTCCCAAAGATCTTCTGAATACAACTATGGATCTAAGCAGTGAGGTGTTGGAGGGAGAAGGAAACAGAATAGACTAAACCTACAACACCAGACATTTCTGCTGAGCATGGGGGGGGGGGGGGGGGGCAATGCTAATTAGACCATTTTTAATGAAACTTAATTGACATTGTGATTAAACTGTTTTTTTGTTTAACAGCGGACGAAGAATCAATGGCTATTTAGTTCATCGCTCAGATGAGTCAGTTGAATCATTTCTGCACAGTAGCTTTGTACCTCCACCCCCTCTGCATAGGAACCCATCCCACTTCTCACCGGATGAAGAAGCGCCACAGGGTCCAGATGACGATGAGGAAGATTCCCAGGAACCAGCACTGCGTGACCACAAAGGGGATGGGCAGCATGATGGTGTTGGGATCGTACTTGACCACGATGAGGAACTCCGTCACTGTGATCGCTGCCACCAGCCACGCCTGCTGGCCGAGCTTCTTGTGGAACTTCCTGCCATGAAAAATGACCAAAAGAGGTTGTTATGGAGAAGTGATATGACTGTTGGGATGTTTTTACCGTGTGGAGGTAAGAACACACAGTACCCATGGCAGAATAGTAGCGCTCGGCTACTCGGTTACACACCTGCAGAAAAAGACAATAGTATGCATGCAAATAAAAATGAAATAGCTCATCTGAAAAGCAGCAGCACAGAAGCCATCAGATATGACGAAGCTGCTTGGATCCAACACTTTGAGTACAGCCGGCATTTGTACCCCCCAGAAGACATTCGCCGAAACATATTACACGCAAGTAAAATGGCAACGAGCTCCCGAGTGTCTGGTTTTGAATCAGCATTGAAGACACCATGTGGTGGGAAAGCCTTTATTCAATTACCCCCCCCCCCCCCCAGCTTCATCTAGCTGCTACTCACGGGTCGTCCATGAAGTCGTAGATTTCCCTCATGGCGACGCCTCCTACGTTGACGAAGAAGACCAGTCGCAGCAGCACCAGGTAGTGCTCAGGAGGCATCCACAACACGAACTTCAGGTAGAAGGTGTTCAGCTCCGCCAGGAGGAACTGGGAACGGTCGACATGGAAGGAAGTTTGCGTCAACTCGGGAGCACTGAGAATGAACTGTAGCGAGCGGCTCGTCTCTTATGGCCACCACCATTTGTTTGAGAATATCTTTATTTGTGGGGAGCTTTTTCACTTTTTACATTGCAATGCCAGGATATTTCCTACCATGAAGATGATGCCCAACACAGCCAGCCAGCGACGAAGGTTTGAAGCGGGCTTCCACTCAAACTTCACCCAGCTGTAGGGAGTGAACTGGAACGCCATTCGCTTTATCTTCCCCCTGGGAGACGCGGCGGAGGAGATGCGGTTAGAAACAGAGGAACATTACATCTTACATCCGTCACACACGTGTGTGCAGTTAAGTTAATTGTTGTGGTTTCAGTCCTATGAGAGCAGGTTGAAGGTCGTACTTGTATGTAGGAATGTTCCACAGGCCCTGCCACTGGTAGGGCTTCATGGATAACCAGGCCAGGGCCTTCATGCCACAGTAGATCCCCAGACCGTTACACAGCAACACGTCCATGATCCACTACGGAGAGACGACACCGTTACCAATAACACAAGCGACGCAGGTCTGCTAGATGGAAGCTTTTCTTCTGCCTTAGTTCTGTTGCAGACCTGTACACACCCCGGTGGGTGGTGACATTAGAATAGAATCCCAGCATTGAATGTGGTTTGAAGCACCGTAGCTTTCATGTTCACAATTAATGTAAAAGACACACAATGTAGTAGGTTACATTAATTCATATTTACTGTTAATAGGCAGTTGTTTGTGAAACATCGTCGCACCTCAGTCTAACTAATGTGTTTTTACAGCCAACAGCGAATCTTCTTTAATATCCCACTACTGTCTCGCTTTATGGCTTTAAACTAAAGCCTCTTATCTTTCACACAAATGACCACTTTAATTGCTGTGATAAATCTGAGTAGCAGATTTGCAGAATAATAAGCAGCCTGCGGATACTAGAGAAATAACAAAACGCCTCATCAAAGACACTGCTCCAAATTGTGCCTTCAGCAGCTCAGAAGTACGGTCACCTTTGCCACCTCGGAGAATCTCAGTATGCGGCGAGACGTTGACCAAACAGCTCGTAAAGAAGGCAAAAGCTGCGCTGCAGACATACGGAAGGATTTATAGGCCTTGGTTCACTTTACAGTGACGTCTGCAGGTCCTGTCTGTTCTCACTGGGACTCACCAGCAGCACGTTCATTCCCAACGGCCTGCAGATTCTGTTCGCTGGTGCACTTTACTTTTTAATTCTTAGTTTAGAGATATTTTTAACTTTAACTTTTATTCCTTTATTTTAAACTAACCCATAGCCTTATATTTGATTCCTCGTGCACTGTCTTGTACTGTTTGCTGTTATGCACCAACTGCCAAGTCAAATTCCTCGTATGTCCGATATATTATGGCAATAAATGTTTCCTGATTCCTGAGGTAAAACGGCCAGAGACATTTGTACGTACGTGGTCCCACCAGCACTCTGAGAAGTTGGGTAGCTGGTGCTCCAGGCTGTATTCCAGGAACTCGAACATCACACTGATTATCATGCACATCCACCAATCGCGAATCATCAGAGTCTGAGGATGAAAACACAGCAAAAGGGGGAGGCGGAGTGGGTGGGGATGAATGGTGTGGAGCGGGAGGTCAGCGAGATGCCGTACAGAGAGAAACTTCTTCCATTGCAGACGCAACAGAGCACACCAGCAGCATAGGAATCAGCCAACGAATTACACATGTGGGGGGATTTAATGATTAGTGAGTTTTGCAGTGCAACGTATGTAAATGTGTCTAATCTGTAACCAAGAGACAGTTGGTTCCCGAGCTGACGAGACCGACTGCTGCTGTGCCTTTCATGTGACGCAGTCGTGTTGAGCCTTCTCCAGTCATACCTTGATGTACCATCCCAGGAAGTGAGCTGGAACAAAGCCATCCATCTTGTCCTGTGGAGACAAACCAACATGGTGGTTTAACAAGGTCATCTTCTTTCAGTAGATTTAAAATCTACACCCTTTCCAAGTGAGTTCAGGTTGTCCAAAATAGTCTACAACTCAATATATGGCAGATGTACTTCATTATATAATATATATATAGATTTTTTGCATCCATGGGGGGAGTGTGGGGGTGGGAGAAGGCCCGGTTCTACTGACGGGATTTGATCTGCATCAGACACAAGCTTCTGAAACCAGCCTGCACGCAGCCAAACACTAACAGTTTGTGTGTGTTTGCATGAGAGATACACAAAAAGGTGAAAGGGGGGGGGGTGGGGGGGGTAGAAGGCTGCCACACTATATGAGATCCAGGTCCTCCTCCTTTTCAGTAATAAGTGACAACATCTTCTTACCCAGATGTTGTGGAAGGGGTCGGTGGTGTTGCCCGGGTCGTACATAAGGCAGTTTCCTCCATAGTCCCGCTCCGGGAGGGGAACCCCAAGCTTGGGGTCGATGTACTTCATGAACTGTCGGCCATCGTGCACCGTCTGCATATCGGGAAAGGAGAAGAGAAACCATCATGGGTGCTTATTCCCGCTGAGGAGGAGCGCTTATTGAGGCACGGAGTCATAATGAGCCTGAAAGGCAGATGTGGATATTTCCATCATGGGTTGCTATGATGATATATGTCAGAGAAAACTGACATATTAAGACAACTGCTGTAATATAATCATAATGTCAGTAGTTACAACAGAACAATAACAATGTGCAACACAACAATTCACAGGATAGCTTATTTACAATGTTTGTACACAAATGGAAAAAACATCCAATATCACACTCTCTACATTGAGTGTTTATTATTATTATTATTTTATATTTATTATATTATACAGCCTTGAAGCATATTAGTTTGTTGTTTTCATGGAGAGATTAATCAAGCTACACGTTTCATTTTCCTTGCAGGCGTAAAGAAGGCAGATGGCTTAAGTATCACTCTAGTCACTAAGACAAGTTAGTTAACTGTATTGCTGCTTTACACGGCCTGGCTCAGTGACATTTCAATTAAACTTAAGAGGCTTCCAGGGTTCCAAATGTGGATCAGAGATATATAAAAAAAAAAGCAGTGTTTCAATATAATCATCACACCCACCTGGAAGAGGATGAAGATGAGGAACAGCTCGTACACGACAGTGACACAAAGCCAGAACCTCCAGTAAGCTGGATAGGGGAAAAAAAACACACACACACATTCCAGCTTGTTAATATTTGATTTAACTAGTCACAATCATCTCAGACGGGCCCAGGATGCTGCAGTGGCCTTACAAAATAGATAGCAAAGATAGCAGAAGGGGAGGCCAATAACGCGTGAGAGATGCAGCCAATGGCACCGCTTCCATCCAGTGAGTCAGACCATCTGGGAACGAATAGTTTTTATTTAAAAAGGGGGCGTTTAAAGGTTAGGTTCAACAATTCAAATAGCATCCGAGTGATTCTGTCCACACAGACCTTGTTGACTGTTTGGTTATGCAAGAGTGAGGAATTCCTGATTACATAAATGATACAGCAGTTTTCAACAATTGGGTGAAACAGTCAGAGATAATCTGGTGTCCATTAAAGTTCAGATTGGTTATTCGTTATTGGCTGTGTTAAAAGTATAAAGCCATCACAGCAGTAGAGTGCAATCAGTGACCCACAGAGGGATTCCATCTCATTTCGAGTGAGTCTTTGGTGGTTTCCCTCACGAGATGCCGGTTGTAAACCCTGAAGGCCCTTTGGCTACTTTCCCATAGTACAAACATGTGGATTGCAGCACAACTACAGCGAGCTGAACAACAACTAAAGCCACTTGGCCAGCTCAACGGGTCAGGCAGTATGACGCAGTCAGTTAATATACACAAACACCACCATAAACAAAAGGAGACGCCGACAAGGCACAAGTAATAACAGCAGCAGCGCCACTTTACGCCTTCAACGTGACCGTGTCTCCATCTGACCCCCCCACACCCTGTTGTCTTCCTTCCATCCTTCCCCTCTGAGTCAGTGGGAACACGTTGTGTGATACAAGAGATGCATTTTTTGCATGGCTGACCTGGTTAAAAATCTAAATAGCAAACAACTTTTATGAACTGCCCTTTTATAAATAGCACCAACTCTTTATAGAAGGAACAGTGCGTCACATGTAGGGGGATCAATTGGACAATACGGAATACAATATCATTATAGCATAGTTACGGTTGTTTTATCACCCGAAAATAAGAAGGGCTGTTTTTTTTCTACATCACAGAAGAGTCGGGCATGTTTCTACGGTAACCTAGAGTGGACAAACCGGAAAGCTGCACACTCAATAACTACTTACTATTCCTCATTTGTCCTTTCCCCAAACACACAACCTGAGAGAAATTAAGTCATCGCTGCTGGCGACAACTTGGCAACAGCTCGCCAGGTCTGTCTGAAATGAGCACTAGAGCGCTATTTATTCACGCTTCTGCTCCTATTCATGCATTCAAGGTGGCCATACGTTTCCCGTTGCAACTATTTACTGAGCACTACGGCCCTTAAGCCAGTAAACAGGTCATCAATAGTGACGACGATTTTCTTGTTTACTTTGTTGTCTGAGGGATCTTGCCAGGAAAACACTGCACCTCCTTTCATTCATCCAGATGTCACCTCCATTCTGACGCTTACATTTAGCTAGTCATTGATAGATACTTTATTGATCCCTCAAGAGGGAAGTTTTGGTATCACAGCAGCATGTACAGGGAAGAAAATAGAATAAAACGATACACATTATATACAATATAATAATATAGAAATATTAAATTATTAGATTAAATTAAATAAACTAAAACTGAAACAAAAGAATAACCTTTCAAAAGAGACAATAATAATAATTTGTAAAAGGAGAAGAGGAAGAGCAGCAACATCACAGCAGTACAGGGTTATTATTGTCATTAAAATCATTGTGCAGATTGATTCCCTTCACTTAGAGGAGCTTCATGTTACATGGAATTCTAAAATGTTGCTATTGATTGAATTAGTGGCAATGGCTCTCAGGTACTCTTACCCTTGTACACATCATAGGAACGGAGTAACAAATAATGCAGCATTAAAAAGACTCCACACTTAATGTAGTGGAAAAATATATTTTCAATATCTCAGTAATCAGGTGTTCTTAAGGCATGTAATAAAAATACCTACTCTAATTCAGAGACTTTGAACGTGCTTTGCACAAGGTGTGTGTGCATGGAATGGTGAGGATGAAATGCTGCCTTTCCTACCTGGGTGTGGTCTGGTAAATGGTCCATCTTTGGCTTGTGTCACTCCAAAACAGAGAAACACCAGGATGCTTGCCACAATCCCCCTAGAAGCGCACACAGAAAAATACAATTATTAATAATAACTATCATGAATACACTGGGGTAGATAACTAAACACAGCAGGAGTTATGTGCTAGCTGAAGAATGAGATCGTTAAACTGCATAATGAACTACCTTATGATTAAACAAAATGCATCATTTGATAAAAATCTGAAACTCTCAATACTATAAAATTGGCAGGATGCATTGTACTGGATTATTTTAATAGAATTTGATGTCTGTGCTTCCAACACACCTTACAACCAGTTCTACAGGATCTTCTGGACAGATGTTTTGGCAAATGTGAAATACAGTGTTATCTGGATGTCTACAAGACACGTGCCAATGGGCGCTCTTCATACACAAAGAACAACCTTTTTTTGCCCATAAAATGAAAACTATTCAAAGCCATGAGAAAAACATCTGTGATGTCAGCGGTCGAAACAGCAATGAATGGGTCACAATTTCATTTGGTGACCGTGGATTATTGGTCCCCATTAGAATCAAACAAGCACACCAGGAACAGGGGGGGCTCAGCAGCTCAACACACTATATCACAAGTGTGTATTTTTAAGTAGGTGGGAAAGTGAGTTCATGTGTCCAAATGAGTGTATCCCAGTGTGTACATGACTGGATCTGTGTGCGTCCTTCTGCTGGGAAGAAGCTCAAAGGGTCTTCTTCTTCTGGGCCAGAGGAGGCCCAGACACAACGAGTGAGTAAATCCAGGGCAGTTCTAAAATCAAGTAACAATTTCTGACCAAAATGAATGAATTCCAATGTAGTGCATTAATCAAAGGATTTACTGGTGCTTTTAAAATGCTCACGATGAGTCTCGAGTTGCTGACCGACTTGAGGGACTAAAGAGAACCATCCCATTTTCCAAAACCCTGCTCTGAAGAATTAGAAGAAAAGCCACTTGAGCTTTCCTCTACAAATCAATTACACAAACAAACAAGCAGTAACGACCCACAACTTTGTGGTGATATTTGTCACGCTAGTGACCGAAATACCACCCACAGGATAAACTGGTATGGTGACTCATTTGCTGTATTAGACATAGTGACGCCATTTGTTTTTTGAATACATTCTGCAGAAACCAGTCCATACTTTTGACAGCGAGACACTTCAAAGTGCATCTTTTTAGTACAATGCAACACTAACAAGGGAACCGGAATCACTCTTCAGGTTTGCTGCACTCGTTAAAGTCTTTATGGTTCACTACATTTAACTTTAGTTTTTAACTGGGTTGCTTCTTTGACTGCGGTGAAAGATTAAGGGCATAAAACACACTCTCCAAATCAAGTCTAATGGTGAGCCGACATTCAGGCTCTTCCTTGTCGTGGTCATCGGGGCTGAATTTATCTGTGAGAAAGCTACACGTGTCCTCAGAAGAGGGCACGCTCTGTTCAAGGTGAATGCTAATGACGCAGGTCGAGGAGTTCAGCACCTCGCCCATGTGGACTCGGCGGTGGGGCTTTGTGCTCAAAACGAAGGTGCTTATTAGCTGGTTTTAGTATGTGAACCATGCACCGGATTTCCAGAGTCATGACACACACACACACACACACACACACACACACACACACACACACACACACACACACACACACACACACACACACACACACACACACACACACACACACACACACACACACACACACACTCAAAATGGGAAAATTGTTTGAAATGGGAGGAAAAGTAGTCGATTCGTGGTTATGAGGGGCAGGAAATTGAAAACCCAGCCGGATTCAAAATTAAAACAAAGCGTGACGCTGATTGCTAATAGAACAAGTTGTGATGAACTAGCTATCTAAAAGTCTCCAAGGATTTTCTTTGGGCAGCCAGTGGAAGTGCCGAGCGCGGCCTACTGACCTCTTTGTGTTGTAGGCCGTGTCCTGGGGGGTCTCTTCCAACAGCGTGACGTAGACCAGAGCACAGGTCAAAATGAAAAGCACTGTCACAGTGTGGGCTCGCCTGCAATAAAAAAGGAGAGAAGAAGCAAAGAAAGGGATAGTAATAACATTTATAAAAGAGGAACATGACCTCTGCAGAGGAAAGAAAAGATCAGCTAACCAATATCTGACATGAAAACAATGTATGTGCACTGTAAATTAGAGCTTTTACACATTGTCTCTAATGATCAGAAGTAAACATAATGACTGGAGATGACATAAAAGTCCATCAGTTGAAACAGATCTGAAATGGGGTTACTTCAGCTGAAAATAGTTACACACAAAAAAAAAAAAATGAATTTTAAGAATCAGTTCAGAAATGTCCTCTCTTCAATGGAGGAAGTCAAACTCAGCCTTTGTATCTGGTGGCCGTGAAAGCATCAGCCCCAACGTAGACACGTTGAACTGGTGTTTGATGGCTGTGATGCTGGCCACAGACCCACACCACCCACGTGAAGCAAACTGTGGCCTTCGCAGTTGCAGTTAGAAGCTACAATGGTTACAATTAAAAAAGGGGTGAAGTGTTAATCCTCCATGACAAAAACATGAACTATTGAATGGACCATCCCAGGAATCACCAAATGGGCAGGAAGGATTTGGGGCAAGCTGACAATGAAACGACGGAAAAAATAGGAAAAAATAGGGGTAGGAAGAGAAAGTGAGTGTGGGAAATGGCCCAAATCTTCAATGCATATACGTTTGGAGACAGTTGTCTCTTTTTGCTGTATGTTTCTCAGCCTCTTTGGATTTTTTCCAGGATTTTAAAATAAAAACAGCAGCTGTAATCTTAGCCTAGCAGTTCATCAAGGTGGCCAAGCGATGCATAAACAATACACTGTGTCCCCAAGGCATGATGAGTAACATTCGACTGACAGCTTCTTTGACAATGCGGTCAAAAAGTTATATCAGAATGGACACCAGTCTTATTATTCAAAAGTACCCGATATAGCAATAAAGCTGAGGTTTAAAATACACGGAGACGGCGTGCCAGGAGTCATGAGCGTTGTGTCCCTGTTCCTGACTCGACCCGTTTTGGCAGCAGACACAAGGGAGGGCCCGACTGCTCTCTTGCCTGACAACCACACCACCGAGGAAACAGACGCAGCGGGAATGGCGCAACTCGGAGGCCGGCTACACTTAAATCGACCACGCAGGTTGAGGATGAACATCCAGATAAAACAGACAACTGGTAAAAACAGTGAAGGAACCAAATGATGTCTCAAAATAGTTAGATAGTATTACTTTGCCCCCAAAAAAGAAAACAACCTTGTTGTCAAAGAAGTGTCAGTTTAATATATTTGTACCGCGGAGGGCTCCAGTTTCCACAATCTCCATTTGCAATAACTCACAAGTTCACTGGCCTGACCCTTAACATTAATACCTGTCATGAGCTGTGGTGTTACTACTCTAAACTTTAACAACACATTTCCAAGACACTGAGTAGTCCCTGTGCACAAAGACTGAGAACTGAAGTGTGTGGGCAGCAATGCTATTTAGGGAAAGATCTAGCACAAAATGTTGTGTCATCAGACTGACTATTTAAGGCTCCATTTTATCCATGCTATTCCTCTTTTTCTCAATAAAAGCACTGCCCTACTTCCCTAAAGCCTGTGCTAATCAGGAAGACTGCATGCCACGTTGTTACCTTCCAAAACCAAGAGCAGCTCCCACCATCAACAAACAGCTTGTGTCCATACCTCTGGCACTAGGGAGACTCCCACAACACAGCCAATGAGCTTCTTCACTGACGCTGATCAGAAATGTACCACAAAACAAACCAATACCGCCATCCTGACCTTGACCCCGATGCTGTTGTGTGGTTTATTCCCATTTGAGTAAACCACATTGAGTTGTGAAAGAAAGGCCGTATTGTTTTAATTTGAGGTAGAGGTTGGCCAGACAAAATATTTTTAAAAACGCCAAATGTACTTTTTTTTCATGACATGATGACAAGAAGCCGAAGATGCTACACGTGTTGAGTAAAATGCACTCTTTACTTATGTGCAATATTAACCCATAGAGATCCATCACCATGCACACAGTTTCAAGCTGACCACAAGGCTAACAGCTACATTCTTCCTGATCAGGTCTTGATTTGTACCAGACTGGGAGTACCGACCAACCACTGTGAGGCCAAATTCCTTACCAGCCAACACGACAATTGCATGCAGTGTTAACCAAAGCACATCAAATTTGGACTAACCTGACCTAGTCAGTGCAGATCATTAGAGAGTTTCTACACTATATCTACATATTAAAGAGCTCCAGTTAAAGTCTCCAGTATTAGACAGACATATACACGTTAAGGCAATGACATTTTGTTGTTAAAGTTTCTCTTGGAGAAACTTTAACAACAACATGACTCTGCCATGGTATCCAATCAGTCGTACTGCCCCTTGCTTTCCACACATAGCAGAGACGAGACACATACACACTTACATATTCCTGGAGAGACAGGTCGAAGGGCCATGGTGGCTAAACATTAAAAGGCGGCTGTAGAGCAGAACGTCCCTTTATTCCAGAATAGCCCCAACACCTGCATCCTGGTAACGTGCTCCGTCTGGCCCGGTGCATTTGTGTCAGTGGGCTCGTGCAGAACTCACTCCTTCAGTTTACCGCATGCACAGAATATCTGTCTCGACTTCAAACCCGGCGTGGATCAGTTTCTGCTGAAGGTGCAGGCTGGGATATTGGCTATTGGCTTGTGAACAACAAGCTCCGCGCGGGGATGTGCAATGTAAGCATCCATAAAAGCACACCACTCTCTATAACTGACACCTCGTGGATCTTGGGGAGTCCTTCCTATCATTTTACATTTGAAAAATGTCACCCGGACACATTTCAGCTGGACTAACCATTTAAACCCCTGTATATTTAAAGATTTGGAACAAGGTCACCGTTTTTTTGGGGGGGGGGGGGGGGGGGGATTAACAGAGGTCCCTTGGGCCTGTCTTTCAGTTCACCTTGAAGGCCGAACGAATCTTTTCTGTCTTTCATATTTCTGCAGGAGCTGTGATCCTGGTGTCTTTTGTTACAGCGCTGCGCCCTCACGTCACAAGCCGTTTGCCTGCTGGACAAAAGCACTCACCAGAAAAAGGTGTTGGTCCCGTCGTCGTAGACCTCGCACTCGGTGTTCCTCCGATGCATGCCCTCCCTGGAGGTCTGCTTCATCGCGTTAGCCTTGAGAAGGGCGCTCTGACTGGGACAGTCCGGCTCCAACGAAGCGTTACCGCCGGACACGGATGTGGCGCACTTGCCGGTAGCGTTGACCGCGGCGCTCCTCTTCGACTCGGGCTTGGTCATCGCCCCCCACCAACCCACCTCCACCCAGCAGCAGCACCACCACCACCACCACCACCACCAGCCCCCTCGGCTGCTTTTAAAGAGATACTGTGCGGGGTACGCGGATTATCACCGGCTCCCGTGCAGAGTCATCCGCGTGTCAGCCCCACCCAAAAGGTAGAACACCGGCATCCTGGGGTTTAGTCAGAGGAGGATTAACGTTAATATCACCGCACTCACAAGACTGAATAACCTGAAAAGCCCGTCCCGCGGTTGTAGTAGCGGTCGCCTCGCGACCATCACAGTATGTGACTACACACGTGCAGTTAACGTTAGATAAGACCTGTTCTCTGACAGTCTATTTATATCACCGCATCTATACCAAACTAGAAGGGCGACACGGCGGACGAGCCGTGCGTAACGCGTCTTAAATAAATCACAGCAGCTACACCGCGATCCGCGCGAGGCTAACCGCGTTAGCTCTGTGAGCGTTAGCCGGCTAGCCGCGACTATTCCCCGTTCAGTTGCATTAGCTAACGTTAACAGGGCTAAATTAACGGACAGGCTCGTTAACGATTGACGTAAAGCAACGAGTCACCAGTGTGACACTTAAGTGTCAAATTGTCCTTACATTACCTACGCGTGGTGTCCCCACCGTTAAGCTAACATTACGTACCACGTTGCGTTTATGGGATTAACGTAACTAAGTGGAGTCCAGATGAAGCTCGTGAGCCGCTAACGTTACATCAGTGCGAACAAATGGGGCAAAAGCCTGAAATCCGTTTTACCAGTAGAGGGACGAAGCATTAAGAGGTAAACAAGATCATACTCCGCCTGGTGACTGTCTGACACAGTTGCAACTGAAAGCCAAACCTCACTACCACCAGGCTCACGTCACATGCCCGTCGAGCACATTTAGCATCAAGCTAATGGTAGCGACGACACCGTATCCGGTCTATTTTCTGCACAATAAAAGACGCCCTTAAAGTCGGACGTATAAATTACATTATTCTGGAATCACAACGTTTAGCTCAGAGGTTCAACATATGTTACTTTCCTTAGTTATGGTGTAAGGATCGCGTGACCCATCTGGCGGGTTTAGCTGAGGTTTAGCCGTTCAAACGATTTGGTTATGAGTAAATTCTGACGCTTCGGATACATACAAAATAACACCACAGCCCTTTTGCAGTTTTATCGGCAACCTGCTAAAATATGTGAACAAAAGTCGTGTCATCCTGTTTTCGATAATGTGCACGTAGTCACTTCCGTTTAGCACACGCCTCATCAGTCGCCATAAACCACAATAATAATAAAAAGGTGTCACCACCGTTATGTCACTCTTAACCGATCCGAGTCCAAGATAAATATATATTCTGTACTCAAGCATTTTCACGACTTAATACTTTTACTAAACTGCATCGCAATAGAAATATGTTCACATTTTACTCATATATACCCTTGGCCTATTGGTGATTAGTTTTAAGTTGTACTTTCAATAACTGTTAATCAAACAGCGACTCTGCCACTGACGTCACTGTGATTGTGACAGAGTGCACGTGCTTTTCAGACACTGATTTGGGTTCTTCTTTGCTAAACGCTTTGGTTAACCCTTTGAGTTCATTTTATGTCTAATACCAGTTTGTGACATTTTGAAATGCATGTTTACACACATGATGTGCAGCTAAAAATCAGCAAGAGGCATGAAGGAGAGTATAGTATATCTTAAAAGTCTTATCTGAGCGAGAACATTAAAAGAGCTATTTTAACTAAACTACGTCAAAATGAGTTTAAAGAACTTGTCACAGGCATGTTTTTGCTAAAACATTAACCTACTGGATGATTGATTAAAAACTGTTGGGAAATGGACCAGCCGGTGTAAAAAATGCGGTTTAAAAGAGCAGTTGCCTTTTTACCGACAAAAGGAATTAAGGGAAATACCCCATGAATGATTTGTTTTTTTAAGGATACAACAATTTTCTTTTTTTCAAGAGGCTTTTTCAGTTCTACGTTAGTTGAACAATAAAAGAACAATAGTACGTTCTAAAAAAGAAGGTGATAGCAGCTGCCATTTATCAGAATATCTTTAAGGTTTAAAAAAAGAAAACCAAAAGGAGTCCACAAAGCCAGAGTGTATTGTAATAATACATCTAGAATGAAGCATGATTTTATATAAATCAAAGATAATACACAGTTCTTTATTAGTTCTTTGTTGCTGGCACTACACATGTTATTTTATGAAACATGCATCAAATCAACTCCTCTGATAACACATTGCTTTACATCCACAAACATGCATGTGGATTGAGCCATCATGGAGTCCGTCCTCTGCTCCTCCATCACCGTCTGGTACGCTGCAGCCACAGCCAAGGACAAGGGCAGGCTGCAGCGTGTCCTCCGCTCTGCAGAGAGGGTGATTGGCTGCAATCTGCCGTCCCTGCAGGACTTGTTCGCTTCCAGGTCTCTGAAGCAGCTAAAAAGATCGTGGCCGACCCCTCCCACCCCGGACATAAACTGTTTGTGCCCCTTCCATCTGGCAGGAGGCTGAGGTCCATCAGGACTACGACCTCCCGCCACACCAACAGTTTCTTCCCGTCGGCAGTCGGGCTCATCAACAGAGCCGGTCCCCCACTGACTGACTATAACACTCCACCGGTCACTCCCCCTCATACTGCACATGTCACTTTAACTGTAATTCATCACTGTCATTTTTCACTTTGTCGTCACTCGTCACTTTGTCACTTGTTCGATAGTGCACTTTATTTTTTTATATTTTGTAACTTTTTAAATATTTTTAATTTTTAACTTTAACTTTATTCCCTTGTTTTATACTAACCCATAGCCTTATTCTACTAACCCCATTGCATTAGCATTTTATTTTATTTCATTACTTGTGCACTGCTGTCTTGTTGTCTATTGTTACACTGTCTACTGTCACGCACCAACCGCCAAGACAAATTCCTTGTATGTTTGACATATTTTGGCAATAAATGTTTCCTGATTCCTGATTCCTGATTGATTCAGATCAGATATTTCAAATTTCCCTTTTAGATATTCTGTCTTTTTTTAATAAATGAGCCTCAAATGTCAATTCATCTGATGACATAATGCAACAATTGTGTATTTTCTATATTACATTACATATCATTTAGCGGATGCTTTTATCCAAAGCGACGTACAATAAGTGCATTCAACCATAGCTATAGCTGTTGGGAAAAGGTCTGTTTCTGTAAGGTCTAATGGAATTCCGAAACACATAATTGCTATAAACAGCAGCTAACTCGTTCAGGAAATCACTCAAGGGTTCAAAACGACGGCAACTTCAAGCGTGAGTGCAGCCTGCAGAGATAAGTGTTGTATAGGTGGAGCATGTGGTTGTGGGGTCAAATTACCATTCATCTTTCTTTTGAAGGCGGCCTGTGGTGATGCCCGCAGCCCATTTTTAAAATCAGAAGGATGAGTTTCTTCAGACGAGGTGGGAGGGGAGCCAGACAGGGGGAGGGGGGTGTCTTTTGTAGCAAACCGGGCTTAAGGGTAAAGGTAGGTTTTCTATGTGAATAAAAACATGTAGGTCATTAATGGAACGTTGCCTTCGGCCCCTGTCAGTCAAGTTGAGCCATGTGAGGTGTGTGTGTGGCTGTTTGGAGATAAAAGAATCATATTGCTGCATTTGTCAGAGAGAGGCAGGCCGGAGGACATCACTCTAGTTGACTGATTGTCCTCGTTGCCACAATGAAAGCTCTGGGATGAACCTCCCTTTGAACGATTAACTAATGCAGTCCTCCCTGCATTTTAATGGCCTTTAAAACATTAACTGATCACATCTGTTGGAGGGGGAGGAACAGAAGTCCTACTCCAACTTGTCAAAGTAAATGTGTGACCAGTTTGAATGTGTCTAATGAGATAATTTTCTCTTCAGGGATAGTGAGACAGAAGCACACTTGTGATCAGGCTCATTAATTCGGCTTCTGTAAATCAGCATGGGCTCTAATACACTTTGTTATTTACGAGGAATAATAATACCATCAAAGTCAGCACTGGAATTAATCGTTTGTGAGATACAATTTCTTCTCTCTGCACACTGCTTTAAAATCGGCTAATGGAAAAGGCCACATGTTAGTGAATACTTCTCACCACTAGAGGGAGCTAACGAACAACATCGAGATCACGGCCTATGGTCGAAAAAGACTGACTGTTTTGCTTTTATGGGTTATGATTGGGGTTAAAATGATGTATAATCACTAGGTGGGACGGCAATCATACTTCAACTCTTGAAAATTTGAACTATTTTGATCTCTTTCAAATATAACAAAAGATATTTCATGTTGATTCGAAAGATGTAAAAGGTGCCACGAGATGAGCTGCATGAATTCCAATATTACTACTCCCAAAAGTCTTTGTCCGTCCTAACCCAATATTATACGTGCAAATAATCAGGATACAATACAATCAATACAATATGACCCGATCTTGAGCACTTATATGTGTCCTCAGGTGCTGCCACACTTCACAGTGGATTCATCCGCAGCATCACTACAGCCGAATCACACGTCCAAGCCGTGAGCACCGAACGTCACGTGGGTGAAAGAACCTCCCGAACCAACGAGTGAACGAACCATTAAGGCACTCTGCTGCAAACAATGCCATCGTAATGCCCCCCTCCACGGGGGGTCTTGCACTTTACAATTACGTGACTTTGTTAACTCTCACATGTCCAATGTGACAGCGTGGTGTCACGAGAAGGTGTCCTGTAAACAGCACGCTCCTGCTGATGCGTTTGCACGTTCAACCAGCTCGTGGTGCAGTACCGGCTTCGAGCCACTAGAGGTCACTGGGCGCGTCCTGATCTGAAGACACTGATGGTTATGGTTATGATTGTAATGGATGTAATGTACAGCAGGCCTATTTAACGAAATCCATATTGTTGCATGAATAACACCGAATACTCGGTGCGGCTGAACAATAGTCACACATAATAAGGGTGTGATCCGATACAAACCCGAGGAGCTCGCAGTGACATTATAATGGGTGAGGAAATAGTGTGTGCTGGGGGGCAATACTAGACACAGAATGAAACCAGCGAGATTCATTTTGCTTTTAAAAAGTTGTTTCTTTTCTATGAGCATTTTACATGGTTGCGATTTGAAAAGTGGTTAAAAAATATACCGTTAAGTTAATGAAACGTAAGACGATCGATCCCCGTTAGTCCATTATCGATCGCACAATACGGTGTCAATAGTGCGGAAAAAGGAGGAAAATAAAGTCCGATAATCGATACACAACCAGCAGCTGCTAGTGTAAGAAATTGATCCCCCAGAAATTGACGTTTGACGCAGACATCGAGTCCGCTCAGAGGTTCGACTCTCTGGGAGGAAAAAGCAACCTGCTCCGCTCGGCGCACAGCCAAGTGGGCACCAGGGGCCGATGGGAAATCAGGGTGGGGGGACTGCGGGCTTCGTTCGGGGGGGTTGGGCTTCAGGTCACCAATGGGAGGTGGCTTCGCTGCCTGAGGGGTCTTCGGTAGGTTATATACTCCCACGTCCGTACCGAGAAGGTACATTTAAACCGAGTCCTGTAGCGGAGACGAGGGTGGAGGAACAGAGACACAACAAAAGCACAACAGCTGACACGACGGGGCTCGATCAGCTAAAAAGGGGGCATCTTCATCTGTGTATTTTTGGCTTTGGTTTGCAAGATCTTGGAGATGTCCAACGTCCAGTTGTCGGGCAGCGTGCAGGAGAGGCTGGTGGCCCGCAGGACCTTCCCTCTCCACAGGCGCACGACCGTCTGCCGCAACCTCTTCGGACCGGTGGATCACGAAGAGCTGAGCCGTGAGATGAAAGACAAAATGCGGGAGATTTCCGAACGGGACCAACAGAGATGGAACTTTAATTTCGAGGCCAACACCCCGCTGGTGGGGGATTACGAGTGGGAAGAGGTGCCCGTGGATACCAGCCCGGGGTTTTATCAGGACTCTGTACAGAACGAAAGGAGCAAGGTAGCCGAGACGCCCGTTACGCGGAGGCCCTCGGCGGACTCCGTCCTCCCGGAGGCCCCTGACATGGATGTACTGGAGCGCTTGGCCGTGCCCGAGAGCAGCGGCGCTCCTTGCCCGGGTGAGGTTAACCAGGAGAACCGCACAGACACGCTCAACTCCGGGAGGCCAGCGCAGAGACACGTCCCGTGTGTGAGACGCAAGAGAGCGGCCGCTACTGACAACAACACACACATCACAGGTAAAAGAACACACGACCCCTTCAGAAACCTCCCGTGTGCGCTCCTGGCTGGGCTCAGTGTCCAAAGCTCCCTCCTGTGTATTAACTGTATCTCTTCGTTCCCGCAGACTTCTTCGTCAAGCGAAAGAGGGCTGCCGATAAAAAACCCAATGATACAAGCGCGTGCCACCTCTCCAAGTCTCCGATCCCAGTGGAACAAACCCCACGGAAGAGGATCCGTTGAAGGTGAGACGATTCACCGTATTTTGTCAACCGTTTCCAGTCCTTAAATCTGCGACACTTCTTCTTCCTTAGATGCTCGTTCGTTATTAAAAGTCACCTTTAAGCACGCGCTTATCTTATCATTTTTTTTGCGTTAATTGGAATTGATTACGTGAGGCAAAAACAGTGCAGGAAGGCAGGCGGTGTTATCTGGGGGGGGGGTGGGGGGGGGGGGGGGGCGGTGGCGAAATCGCAGTAGTAGTGATAGTAGTAGCTGTAGTAAGACCAGTGGGTGGGGGAGGGGGACGTGCGTCACGATGTGGCGGGAAAGGGCTGCGCGTAAAGGGCGACGCCCGCCGCTGAGGTCACATCTCGGGTTTCCTCGGAAAGCTGCGCCGCGTCTTTCTTCTCCGGAGCGACTGTTTCTAGAAAGGAAACATGAAACCAAACTGACCGTGTTTCTACTCTTTTCCTCAGGTGCCTCTATTTTTATTTTATTTTTTGCACTATATACCATTTTTTACGAGGATCAAGACGGGGATGTTTCTCCCTGCTTCTTCCACGCCAGAGAGCAGGAGGAGGAGGAGGAGGAGGAGGAGGAAGAGGCGGTGCGGGAGAAATAAGGCCGACCGGCCGGTGTCTCCGGCTCGGTGCGCCGCCCGGAGCACTCGGACCGGACTCTCAGGACTGACACGGTTTGGGGAGGAAGGGGAGAGGAGAGAGAGGACATGTTTGACTTCTATCCAGTACAAATGTAGCATCCATTGTTGCTTTGCATACAGCCACTCGACAGTGTTAATGTTTTAACATCTGTGCAATCCTAAATTACTTTAAAATAATTGTCTACACTGGCCAAAAGTGTAAAGCTTTATAGAGACAATAATTGTTTATTTCTGTTCTGTTTTTCTATGTATATTTTAAGTCTATTCTAACTTATAATTTATTTATGTTTCTTTACGTTTGCTAAATGCCTTGTTGATTTAGCCAAAGGGCAGGTTTTTATTTTATCATTTCCATTTCGTGTTGTTGTGATGTTTTGCAATCATGTAGCTTAGTAGTCAACACTTGAAAACCAATTTTTTGTGTGTTTCTGAGCCGTTTTTTGTGTTTGCATACAAGTGGCCTAATTCTGTCTGTAAAAGAGGAGAATAAAACAATGTTCACTTCAACTTGAAGCCGATTTGTTGGTCTCTCTCTCTCTCTGAAACCAGTGAGTCCAATCACACTTGACTTGTGTGTTTTTGTTGATTTGATCCGTAAACACGAATCACTTCAAAATGATTTCTTTGTATATGACACAAGACAAACGCCTCGGAGACGTTCGAGGCTCCCGTTGAGGAGGAGGGTGAGGGATGGTTGGGGGGGGGGGGGCGCAGGTACATCACTTTTCATCGAGCTTTGCCCCCTATCTGTCTGCCCCCGTGGCTCATGTACCTGACGGGGCAAAGCGCATTGAGCCGCATGGCAGCTGCGGGCTTTAAAGAGCCTTTCGCCCCTCGAAAGAAGCAGCAGCTGCCTTTGGATCCCCGCTTTGTCCGCACGGAGACACCCCCACATCCACCCGCACTCAACGAGCCCTCTAAAGACCCACTCCCACACGCGCGCACACACACACACACACACACACACACCGCCGTGGATACGTCGGGCGTGGAAGCCACCTGCCAGAGCTGGAAAAAGAGAGCTAGTAGTCTTTGTAATTGAAACAAACCATTCACACCCTCTTAATAGAAAGAAGCCAAACGAACAAACGGCACATTTCACAACGTTATCAACGTTTTTCCTCCACTGGTTTCAATTGCTTTGACTGTCTGACTTTAATGTCGCGATGAAAATGGAGACTTTTGATGGCCAGGGTGACTTTGTCAGCTCCATGCAGCCATAAGCTGTGACGGCCTTGTTCGGATTCCCAACACAAAGCCCCTCCGGCTCCATTCTTTCCTTTTTGTTGCCATATGGCAAATCCATGTAGACATAGCCAAGACCCATTCACAATGTCCTGCATCAGAGGACAAAAGACACTTTGTCTGGCTGCTCTATTGATACGGATGGGCAAAAAATATGATAATTAATCTATGGCTATATCCAGCTAATTAACGCCCATATGCCCACGGGGAGCGGCGAGGCCTTTCAGTGCAGAGGTTTAAATTCTCAATAGTTTACATGTTAAAGACAACAGCTGTTTGTGTGTTACTTTAATGAAGTCCCGCTATGTTGGAGACTGGACACTTTCAAGGACTCAAGGACACTTCTGGCTTTATTTGTCTCTACAGCCGCGCAGCGATTTGTCCCAATAAATATGACTTTAAATCGCATCGGCTCTCTCATTTGGGCCATTGCAGCCCAGGTCATAGCTTCTCTCTCTCCACAAAGTCTGAACTAAATCAGACTGCCATGTATAACAAGTCATATTTGTCTGAAGGAAAATGACCTTCAATACTAAGGCGTTCATTTTTACGCCCTGAAGGACCTTTACATGTTTAAAGAGGTTCTTTAAAGAGAAGTATCCCTGCTGTATGTCTGATGGACTTACAGGAAAGTGATGCTAACATGTAGACCTCATTAACAAGCTCCCTACAGTAGAATACCAGCTGCAGCTGGTTATATATATATATATATATATATATATATATATATATATATATATATATATATATATATATATATTTATATTTAATTGGATGATCTGGATTATGCAGTTTTCACTGACAAAACAAAAGTAAAGTCGATCTTTTAATGATCATCCTAAAAAAAAGGTTTTAAAGTATTTATTTCGTTTAAAGATCAATACTTTATATCCGCACATCATTCATTTGGGTTCGATCAATTTTAGATCGAACTCATACAATTGATGAAATTGATGAAAGTGATGGAGTATTGCGTTATTATGTTGTATCCTCTACTAAGAGGAACGAATCAATCCGAGTGAATTCGATCGTAATTTATCACAGCAATAAAAACACGTGAAGAGTCAAGTTAAGTAATAAAATGGATCTTAGCATTGAACCAAATGCGTCCTCTGGGCAAAGTGTGTTATTTCTATCTGCCTGATGCACAATGACTGCTGATACAATCTTGCCAGCTACCAGTAAACCTCCAAATTATTTCTCCTTCATGTGAAGTTGCAAACGTCTCAGACGCATCACAGTGGCTTCGGGGCTGCAAACCAACGCAACAACTAAAAATAAAAAATACCAACAATTAACCGGACAATCTGCGGGGGCTGCAATTAAATATAGAAAAGAGTCAAAATCCGCCCATTGGAATTAGCATTTTCCATGACCATCTGGCATCGGCGCAGGCGACGTGGAACAAAGGCGCGCTGGATGCAGGAGAGGCGAGTGTGCCGTCGCATTGACCTGCAAATGAGGCTTTGTCACCGAGTTAAAGCTCCCTGACCCCCTTTAACACCCTCCCCTAAAAAGCACTTCTTTTTTTCAACCTATAGCAACAAATGAAGGCCTCGATTCAGGTCTGAGTGTGTTTACGAGCTCAGATCAACACGATTGTTGAAAAAGAGCAAACGCTCTCCTGCAGATCGGCTTGTGATTAAAGGTCGAATCAAACCAAATCCCGTAGATTGTTCTGAAATAAACCAAAGCAGGAGGGAGCCAATTATCTCCAAATGATACGATCTTGTTTCCAGGAATGAAATAAGAGAAATGGAACTGAGAGAATGAGGAGATCTGACCGATTCTTCACCATCAAATCGCCTCTTTTATTTTCATCTGCTCCTTTTTTTGCACACGCCTCACTTTATAAAGGAACTTCCAATATTTGGAATAGCATTTGGAGCAATAAAATACAAAAAGGAAAATATCCTTATTTTGTAGATTTTCTCAGGGCAGGCTTCTTTTTTTCCTCTTTTCCCTTGACATCCACTCAGTATTCATGCCCGTGGGCAACAAAGCGCACGGCTCAATCCACGCAGGAGGCGGTGTGACAGGGGACTCGTGGCAGCTTTTCAAACATCTCCTTTCTGTCTCCTCCTTTTTCTTTGCATCGCAACTTTGGTCTCAGTCGGACCGGAGGGGGGGAGGGGGGGGGGGGGGGGGGGAAACACCCCCCCACCCCCCTCTCTAAATCACTTTGGTCCCCGCACGCCTCAAGGGGATTTTACACTGAAAGGGTGATCCCTTACGATGATGCCGCCGCTGATACAATTGTTCTTTTCAAGTACGTTTTGAACATTTACATTTACTTTAAACGCACATTTGATAAACAATACATCAGGAGTGATTGTCATAATTTGCACATATTAACACTGTTTATTTCATCCTGTAGGCTTTGGAATCATTATTGAGAGATCGATACAAGCACGCTGCAAAAGATGGAGCTCGTAAAAAGTATTGTGGTAAAACAGGTTGACTGAAGGCAGATTGTAATGAATCCAACTCAAAAACATGAATGGAGGTGTTCCTCTGACTCTCCCACGAAGGCATCTTCCCACCAGAAGAAACACTTGACTCATTTCTTTCCTTTTGCCGCCCAGTGGGTGAAGAGGTCATGAGGTGTATTGATTTGGCGCCAAGCAGCACTAAATTCCACCATCATAGAAACGTCCAAAACACCCTGAATGTTTTCAAATGTCCAAAAGGGTTCAAACGTGTTTACGATTGTCTAAGACCCAAAAGTCAAAGTTAGGGACAATACAAAGTCTCATATACATGCACACACATTTATTAAAAAACAATGTATTTACACCCTATCTGTGTTTAAAGTATTACAACCAGAGATGTTTTACAGCACAGCATGAGGGATTACAGCAAAAGCATATCAGTATTATAAAACGCGACATGTCGAGCAGGAAAGTCAACAAACACTAAACAAACAGCATCTGTGAAGGATTCATTCATGTGTGTACGCTGGCAAAATGTCCTTGAAAAAGACAGTGATTCCTGTTTGAATGACCCCGAGCTGCAGTTACACAAACACAGGCACCATCAACAGATTGCAATCAACATATTGCGTGTGCGTGTGCATGTGTTACTGTATAAGTGATCTTATAAGTAACTATCGAATGCTTGAACAAAATATATCAGGGGAGCAGAAGGTTTAGGCAACTTTCAAAAGTGACTGAGTCATGTCTGGATAGCTCCACTTCATTATCACATAGCAGTCGTTATTAAATCAGAGCAAAAAGAGTTTTTGATCAAATCAAAGTATTGCAGTGGCGGCTGGTCCATAGAGGGCAAAGGGGCGTGGCCCCACCAGGAGCGACAAAAAAACAAAAACTATTTTTACAAATTTAAAACAATACGTTTGACAAATAGTCAATATTTGTGTGCTTGTGTTTACCCGACAATATTAGTAAATTCATGTATCTGTGGAAAATATAGGCTATGATTTGCCTGCTAATAGTTAAAATATGGTTGTTATATTCATTCTGAATATATCCATATTTTCCTTGATATACTGCATTTTTTGAATAAGATGTCCTTAATATGTTAAACTGTTGGAATAAATGTTAAATATTTAACTGCAAAGTAATAATGCGTGTTCGATACCCTTTTTTGCGTTGACTCATACTGGGATGTTTACTAAAACTGCAATCCTGATTGGCTGGCGCTGCCAAAAACAAAATCCACCAGATGATACTGGTATTCAACATGTTCCTTTCCTGAGCAAATGACTCTTTTTTATTTTATGGAGAAATCAAATTGGAAACCGACAAGCTTAAAGGCTGACGTTGAAGCTAACAGTGGATGATTTAATCCCGCTGTCTGCAGGGCCGCTGGCGTGTTGAGACAAGCTGTCAGAGCAGCGGCCCGTCTCAGTCAAACAACAACCTACTGTGAACCCTTTGAGTTTCGCACATACTGTACATCTGAAAAACTGCATAGCTTCACTCGCGAGTGACGGCTTTCCAACCCGGAGAAGCCATATGCGACTCTGCGGGGGAGCAGTCCGCTTCATTGTGGCAGTAATTGGACAGAGAGGAGAGAGGAGGAGACACAGATAGTTGCGATGACACTTGAGAAATGAGATCTAACTCCATCCCAGCGCCAGTCCTGACAGCCAGAGTCCTCCACCTCCATTCTTCTGCCCTCTCCCTTTGTCCGGATCCTTTTCAGTCTCCCCGAAACAAACCTGTTCCCCTTCACATCCCTCCTTGCATGGGATGCGAGTCCTCTGTTGAGCGGCTGCTGTCTCTGTTTTATCTGTCCATCCATCC